GACTACGTTCAGTGGATTCGTTCATGTGTGAGGATGAGACCCTTAACGACGAAACTATATTTTAAATACCAATTCACCGTTGCTGTCCTTTTAAATGACTTATATAATAAACAGTGGATTTATTGCAAGGATTGTGGACACCCTGTAGGCTGCCCAGTGTCTACACACGCCGATGATTATTGCGCTAAAAACTGAGCAAGGACTTATGATTGCGCTCCTTTTAGATAGGATATGAACACGGGTTACTAGAGTATCCGCGTATATTGAGTATGACCGGTTCTAAGCTTACGAGTGTGACCGTATTTCTGTTCCTATAAACAGACGAGGTGAGTACTTGCTTTTTATGAACACTTTCGAACGTTTTCTTTTTATCCTACTTGGTCAATGAATGATACTTGGTATACTTATAATGCCAGGCATATCACAAGGGGCCTTAATCAAGAGAAAACGTATTAATATTAGATTGAAGCCGTAAAATCCTAGTTTCCAGCATCTTTGATCAGTTTTTGTGTAACACAACGCAACTCCGAAGAGGATGACACATCTTATGTATAATATATAGCTAGATCTACGAATTAGTCATGAATATTTAAAATAATTTAGCCTGCTCTGTCCAAAAATGATACATCTTTGAATTTTTGAGAATGCGAATGTCACTGGTGCTCCATTATTGGAGAATACGGTTGTGAAATGTCTTCCATGACATTTCACAAGCGTATCCTCTGGGAAAAGATAAATCCTTCTCTTGCTCACTCTACGGGGGATCATATAAACTGAGATTTGGAGATCTTGTTCAGGTTAGCCATAAAAAGGTTTGGGATTTGTTTTTTTCTACTGTGATATTAATGATTTGGCTCTAAGGCGAGAAATCTGTACTTTCTGATTGATATTCCATTATGAACAGTTACATTGCTAAAATAGCTCATGTTTAACATTTTTTTGTTACATTTACTATTAAATACAGCATAAACTATATTCAACAAACACAATTTCAAAAAGGATAATATAGAAGTTAACCTTTATTTTCCATTTTTAAGCAGCTGTGCCTCTCACGACTTTCCAAAACAGGTCATACTCGTAGCCTAAGAACCGGTCATACTCCATATACGTGGAAACTCTAGTAGCCCGTGACTGGAAGGATAACCATGTAAAGAGTACTATACCTAGTATAACGTGTTGCCTTTTCCTTAGTTTGTGTCTTTTTATTTTTTAAATTTTATTTTCATAATAATTCAAGATCAGATAAGTTAATGATAGTACCGACTTATTCGTAGTTTTCCAAGTAAAACTGTTCTGAGAAATCACTCGGTAAGAACGATGCACCTTTATATGTTTTCATATGTTCATTTTGCATTTTGATACTATGTCCCGATCTCATGTACATTTACTTTGCAAACAGTGAAAATAATGCTAAAACGGTCGCCCGTTGATGTTTGTTCTTACTGTTGTTAATAGATCATTTTAATGCCATATTTGCAGCATTTAAAACATTAATCCGTCATACATGAATAAACGGTGTGCAATTTAATCAGAATCATGACACAAGAACAATGCTTAGTTTGCTAATATCTATATAAATGACCAGGTTAGTACCTTAATGTAAAAGTAATTGATTCCAAAATGTAATTCCACTTGCATTAGATAGCCTTAAATGTATTTTGCTGGAAAATTATTTTTTTAACAAAGATACACAATTCCCTGGCATATATTTCCCTGACACATCTACTGTTTCAAAATTCCCTGACATTTTTGGCCCTTTTTGACCCAATTTTGAAATTCCCTAATATTTCCAGCACCTGGAAACATAAATCAATTTCCCTGACATTTCCAGGTGTGTACGAACCCTGATTAACCATAGCATCAGCCCATGTAAATAATTCCAAAATGTAATTCCACTTACACTAACCATAGCATCAGCCAATGTATATAGCAATTGCACCACAATTCAGATTTTGAAAGTATGAAAGTATTTCTTCCATTTCTCAGAGTTGGATTACTATCAACAAGTTACATTAAATAAAAGTAGTGTCATGACACTCAAATGGAAATTGCAATTTTGTATTGTGAACGTTGAACACTTATCGAAAAGTTCGGTTAATGGTTTGAGGATGTGCCTCTCATTTATTGTATTTGGTCCTTCATTGAAAATGCTTTACTGATCTAGAATGATAGCATTTCATAATTGCTTCCTCAGATCTAGTCTAAAGACGTCATCCGATAAAAGTTCAAGGTCAAACTAATTCTGGATTCACTTGAAAGGAAATATAGTTTTTATGCCCAGAAAGTACTCATTGTGAAAGATATGTCCAAAATCACTTACCATATTTTACCTAATCCTTTAATAATTCCATTTTGCCAAGCGGGCAATTTGGGCCAGTAAATCAAATGAAAATGTAGAAATAATGAGTGATTTTTATTGCCAATAAATACACAATGCATATGGACTTTCATACAATGTACATACATACATGCACATAAATTAGTGTGTTTAATCTCTAAAAACGAAGGTAATAATTGCGAATAACTTCCTTATTTGCTTAGCCTAAGCAAGGGCGAACGTAATACGTGCCTCGTTCGCAATGGTTAAGCGTTGGCCTTTTATCGTATACTGTTCTATCAACCAATATTCTTTGCATTCGTTCGACTTCACTTCTTAAAAGAGAGCTTCGTCTTCATAACGTTTATTCAACTTCATAAAGTTTATCACTAGACTGCGCGCAGAGTAATCAACCAATGAAACTACTGTTTTTGCACAGCCCCAGATGTCGTGTCGTTTCGTTAAGTACTCATACTAAGGCCCGGGCACTAAATAAGCCCTTGGCCTAGGGGTAAAATAAGGATATAAATATATGCAGAAAGCAGAAAGTAATGCAAAAATTCAATTATATATTTTCACAATTTCTCCGTTACAAAATTCCATTCTATGACTAAATGATCATTATAAATACATCCTCCAAAAGCATGGTTCCAGACATCATCCATTAAGTTCCTTCCTTCTTCCAAGAAGGAGGTACTGTGGCCTCTGTTCGGAGGATTGATAGACAGCACGTGGGACTAACTAATAATACACATTGTCAAATTCAAAATGAAGGAAACACTAAATCCAATGTAGAAGTAAAATCCTTCCACTGTTAAAATATAATATGGAACCATATAACGCTAACGTGGCATCAAACCAGTAAAGCCACAAGACCCATATTTCTAGTTTTTATTTTGTCGCCCATGTTTGTACAATTGCACAGAAATAAAGACAATTTGTCTTTTAAAATTAACATTACAGACACCTAGTCACTTCAATAAATAACATGCATAAATACATACTACATTTAAGTAAATTCATTTTCTACAAATATATAATTTAGCATGTGACCAAAAATGACCTTCAATGTTGCTCATATTCACGAGCCATGCCATTTGGAATATTTCAATTTTTATTTTTATAATTAAATTAACTTGACCAAGCATGTTCAAAAAATATACATGAACAGATCTGTTATCATATAATTGGTTACTTTTATTAATAACTTATCACTGTAATCGTCTCTAATATGACTGAATTATTCAGTGACTCATGACAAGACACCCCAAAACCACCTTTGTAAAACTGCATTGATTCAATGCTACTTTTTTTATTTATTATGTTATTGGCACCTTGTGAATAATCCTGAAAATGGAAGGTAGGTTAGTATTTTAATTACATGTAATTTCTACATAATAAATTACAAATTTTTAAATACATGTGATGTACAATTATTTATATTTCAATTAAATTCTTTGAAAAATACATTACAGGCTATATCATATGCATTTACACAATCTGAAATGTCCAATTTATATCTATGGAATTTAGTCGTTGATATCCTAAATTATCTTTTCCACTGTTTCAAAACATTGTTCATTTTACCTGAGACTAACATATTTAGAGTAGCCTATGTTAGTCTCAGATTTTACTTATTGTGCTTATACAGTAGTACACTTAATTAGTAGCACATAATACCCTTCATTTGAGTAGTACATGTAGACATTATGCTCTATCAAAGTTGGTCCAACCAAAGTGTGCATAACGCAAATCATCATTGGATTCAGAGTATCTTAATAAGTATAGTTTATTATTACCACCTTGCCGGGCCAGTTCTAGGGGTTTTAGTGCTAGTTTAGAAGGCGTTTATTTTACTGTATTGACCTGAGAAATGTGTGACGTCATAGTGGTGGTCCATATGGACCGTTCTAGAATATATTCTGGACCGGCAATTTTCCCCGGGAAATTAGATATCGTTCAATGCGTAAGATTTTCTTGCTGTTTCAGTCCTGGTCATTAACGGTGGTAATAATACTAATAACGTCATTTCTGCGAGCGATATAGTGAAATATTGGACCTTGGGCCTTCGGCCCTTGGTCCAATATTTCACTATATCGCCCTTAGAAATGACGTTATTGTACTATTATTTTCACTGATTTGTGATGTTTTTAATAGGCTAACTCCACTGAATTTAGTCATTAAATCTACATGTGTGTTGTAATATATCTAGTCTAGCTTTAAGCCTCTGTGACCCCTCCCCTCTACTTGACTAGACACCTTCTCACACAGAGTTGAAGTGGTTGGGGGGTCACAAGGGCTTGTAGCTAGACTATAATATATCATGTACAGTAGGTAAGTATAAACAGGAAAAGAACGTCTCATCTACAGTATACCTTGCATTATCACAGTTTAAGATTTACATGATTTACACAGTTCAAGAGTTACATATAATGTACAGCGTGTGCCAAAAACGTCCATATTTTTTATTTTGATATTACTTTTTATGAGTTCTAATCAAATAAAAAAAATATGGTCGTTTGTGGCCCATCCTGACTTTCCTGACCAGTATAAAACAGGATTTCATTGTTGAGCTGAAAGACTTGTACAGCAGGGGAAAGCTGTAGAACATTTCATTTTCGCTTTTGCACAACATTTCCAAATATTGTATTGAGAGGCCTTTTGGGGATACAGGATTACAATAAAGTAAAGATACAGAATTTTAGAAGATTTGATGTCAGGAAATGAGGATATTTTTCATGATGCCATTCTAAAATCTGCAGTAAATTTGTATCTTTACTTTATGGACACCCAGTAAACATTTTCATATTTCTTTGTATTTCTGCATGTAATAGGGGACCTATCAAGTAAATATCGACCCATTCTGATGAATGAAGGGAACCAGGATGAATTGGTTATATTCATGATATCATATTTTGGTGGTAGTTATGTTTGTACACAAAATTAAAAGATGTATTTTGAAAATTAGCAATAAGTTAAATCCAATTTCTGCTCTTGAACTGCATAAATAAGAATACAGTGTATAACCAATTAGCAGCAAAAATTAAAAGTCATTTAGTAATAAGTTTGTCTAATTTCTGCTCCAGAACTAAAAATGGGATCGAGCCAATAAAAAGCATGACATACTGGATATCCTGGATCAGTCTTTACTGCAAGGTATGAAAGGCCTGAAGGGTTAAGGAGCTTTCAAGAAAGGCTGTGCAATTTTTCAATCTATGTCTGAGTATTGCCGAATGTTCCATTTGGGGGTCTGTATAACTTAGGAACAGACAGTAACTGTATGCTATTAAAGGCATATTTCTTTGACCCTGTTCGACACTTTTTCAATCTAAGTCTGAGTATTGCCGAATGTTCCATTTGGAGGTCTGTATAACTTAGGAACAGACAGTAACTGTATGCTATTAAAGGCATATTTCTTTGATCCTGTTCGACACTTTTTCAATCTATGTCTGAGTATTGCCGAATGTTCCATTTGGGGGTCTGTATAACTTAGGAACAGACAGTAACTGTATGCTATTAAAGGCATATTTCTTTGACCCTGTGTTTTTGTAGGAATTCTCTCTTCTTACACCCTCACTGGAATTTGAAACATAAAACATATCTGATGTTATGACTGACAAGGTTTTATAATTTCAAGGTCTTTAGTCATAATATTGTGTCAGTAATTGTTGTCTTTATTTGTTTTTATTCATTAATTATTCAAATCATGTAACTGTAATTTTACCCTCATGCTCAATATGCTGTTTTTATAAAAAGATCAGAAAAGTAGATGCTCCAAAATCGATGACTGAAATGTTTTAATAGCCCTGTACATGTGTATGGCTAAATGTGATAATTTAGAGACATTTAATGTCCCTTTGGTAAATTCACTCTACTGTATACCTTACATTTGGTGTTCATGAGCAACCCATTTTGCTTATTAGTAATGATTATGTTATTTGCTTTTATACGTCCATTCCTTATTAATGGTTTATCGGATGACTGTTAGATGTAAATAAGGTATTTTCAAAAATATACTAAACAATACAATTAGACCAACATAGTATCTTATGCATTTCTAGGGGATAGGTATAGTAGAGTGAAATTCTCATGTTCCGGTTTCTGACTTTGTTTAAATGAACTGTGAGCCTTTCTGACATCTACCTATGTGTCTGTTTCATACAGGGAGGATTCTCAAAACAATTTCAGCCCAATATATCCATCAGTTAAAGTAACAAACCAGATTAAATTGTATTTTGACAAAAAAGCTTTATAATCCTTTGATAAATTGTTAATACCATTTTTATATACCTACATGTAACATAATATAAGTGTTTTCTTTTATATTTAGTCTAGATGTCATTTTAATAATTTCTGTTAAACCGCAACATATACCCACTAGGGTGTCTAGCGGCTTGTTTTTATAGTGTATATTATATAAGAATTATGAAATAAATAGAATTGAATTGAATTGAAAAATGAAGGATTTTTGAGGTGTAATACACAGGCATAAAATCCTTTTCGTCAAAATACTTCAAAACAAAGCAATTGAACCTTGTTGTGTACCATTGTAATGCATTTTTGAAAATAAAACTCATTTACTCAACTGATCAAAAAATGCAAGCATAAAACAAAACCCAAATTATTTCTCATAACTTTTATCCAAAAACATGACAACCTTAAAACATATTAGATACCTTCGCATACAGCTCAGGGCATGATTAAAAATATGAGGTGCTAAGTCATGTTCCCGTTGTAACAACTGGACCTGTTCCAACGTGGCTGCCATTGCAGTCCTATCTTTAGCACTCTTACAATGGGTGAACCTTACCCCATTCAACCTACGGCATATCTGCAAAGTATAATAAATATATTTAAAATCATATCATCAAGTCATGTTCTCTCTGTACTGTACACTGTAAACTTTGGGATGAGTTTCAAATATTTCAAGCATTTCAATTGTATTGCCCGGGAGAACAAAACCTTGAATTGCTGCTTCCTGTTATGAAAAATAAGCAAATTTCAAGCATTTCAATGTTTGCACATGAGATGACAAGGTCGCTGTTTGCGCCTGTTTTACCACTTCAATAAAATCAATTCAATCAATATGTGAGTCAATGGGAGTCAAATTTGAACTGAGATACAGTATTCACATAAATATGTGTACAAATAAGAGAGATGTTTGGATATACAGGTTTTACGGTACCTTAATTCTTGCTAAATTTGTCATAAATCATGTTCTGTCTTAATTTTCATACATCCTACCTCAGATGCTATCTGTAGAATTTCCACATTTTTGTTCCTCTTGATCCTTACATTGTTCTTGAGTTTCTCCACCAGTTCACTCACTTTGAATGCAGCATGGGCATGCTCTTCACTATTCCCATCTGGAAAAATGGATATCAGATAGGGCCATGAGGTCCAAAGCCAGAGGGGGTTTGGGGAGTTTCTGAGTACTATTCTGAGAAGTTTTCAAGTGATTTTTGGCCAAATTTGTAATATGTAAGGACCCCTAAATGTTTTGTAAAAGTGACACCCCCCCCCCTCCTTAGCAAAAGCTGGCTATGGGCCTGGAGGGGGCCGCAAAACAAGGAAGCCAAAAATAAAACTTGAATAATCAAGATGTCCAACAACCCGGCAAACTAATTAGTGCCCAGTTCAGACATCTCCCACATAAAGTATAATAACAAGTATCTTGAATTCATTAATTAATGAATAAATATCTCCGATTCAGTTATATAAGCACTTACCTGGATCCTCTATAAGGTCTGTGTATTGTTCATAGTAGTTAACGAGAATCTTTGCATTGTCGGAGTTCAACAGTTCTTGTAAAGAAGTGTCACCAAACCTAAAACAGAAATCTCCTGCTAAGAATACATACACAGGGTGGCTGTAATACATACACAGGGTGGCTATAATACATACACATGGTGGCTAGAATACGAGTACATATACAGGTTGGTTGGAAACAATGGAGCTACCCTCCACAACTCAAATAAAATGATACTTTTCTGTAGGCATTCCATGATGATTCCTCAAACTCATATTCGAACATGACTGTATTCACGCCTTCTATAAACTGTAAACAAAGTCAATGCTTCAGCTGGGGTTTATTCGAGATCAATAACCCAGTTAATACATGTAATGTGTGACGTCATAACGGTGGGTCGTAGTAACGGCGGACCATGATGAATATTCGAAACAATTTGGTGAGTTTTCATGTTCGAATCGTAATATAGACCTCAGAGCAGGGGTAATATCGTCGAATACACCCCTTGGGGCTAGGCACAAAAGCTTTCGAACCCCTCACTCCCTCCGGTCGTTCAGGGTACGGAAAACGTTTGTGCCTAGCCCTGCGGGGTGTATTCGACGATATAACCCCTGCTTTTCGGTCTATATTTCTTAAATAAAATAGGTCAAATTGCAAAAGTAGATTAAATTACTACAAACACATCATTGCCATGTATCCCTTATATTACAATAAGATACTAGAATATGATAAAAAAAAATCACCTTATAATGAAATCATTGTGCAAGTGATAATCATGCAAAATTCAGTTTACCTCTATTAAATGAGAGATATCAGATGACTTACTTTTCAGCTTGAGTTGCCTGTTCATATATGCCAATGTTGAAAAAAACTGGCACTAGAGACATTAGATGACTTACTTTTCAGCTAGAGTTGCCTATTCATATATGCCAATGTTGAAAAAGACTGGCACTAGAAATACAAAATGACTTCTGTCCTAACAAAGCTTCTTCATTCTCAATAAAAAACCTAACACACATCCTCTTAGGTATGGTTCTGCGCCAAGCGCCGAGAGTGGAGCTGCAGTAACCGTTTATTCCAACTGACAAATACAATATCATCATCATCTTTCAACATTAATTAACATGATTACAATGCGATCTTTATCGATTATTATGTATTTAATTAGCGTCTACAAACTATTTTGCTGATACAAGAGTTGCTTTTTTGCACAATAAAATGGTTTGTCTGTGACCAAAGTTGTTAACGATGCAACTGTTGCACCGGCTCCTGATCCGGGAACCCAACCCTTTATATAAAAACTGCAATACACCAGCGTGTACTTTACAGAAAATTCTATAGGGAGGTCCACCTCTCCATGAAAAGGAGCAGTGTGAGGATTTGAACTTCTACAAGTATTTACCTAATAACCATGGTAATTATTTTTTGAACATACAATAAACTAAATACATGTTATTCTAAAATAATGTAAAGTTTAGTCCACCCGCTTTGACGTTTAGAACCAAGATGACGCCTACAAAACCTTTCAATACCCAAGAAAACAATCCACTCATACATGACCTCGTTCTATTATTAAATCATTTCAAAACACCTTGACCGTACAGAAATTATTTATACACTAATTCATACTTCGTGATTCAACCGTAAATAAATACATTTACTTTTCAGCTAGAGTTGCCTGTTCATTTATGCCAATGTTGAAAAAGACTGGCACTAGAGACATTAGATGACCTACTTTTAAGCTAGAGTTGCCTGTTCATATATGCCAATGTTGAAAAAGACTGGCACTAGAGACATTAGATGACTTACTTTTCAGCTAGAGTTGCCTGTTCATCTATGCCAATGTTGAAAAAGACTGGCACTAGAGACATTAGATGACTTACTTTTCAGATATAGTTGCCTGTTCATCTATGCCAATGTTGAAGAAAATTGGCATAAGAGACATCAGATGACTTACTTTTCAGCTAGAATTGCCTGTTCATTTATGCCAATGTTGAAAAATACTGGCATAAGAGACATCAGATGACTTACTTTTCAGCGAGAGTTGCCTGTTCATATATGTCAATGTTGAATAAGACTGGCACTAGAGATATTAGATGACTTACTTTTCAGCTAGAGTTGCCTGTTCATTTATGCCAATGTTGAAAAATACTGGCATAAGAGACATCAGATGACTTACTTTTCAGCTAGAGTTGCCTGTTCATTTATGCCAATGTTGAAAAATACTGGCATAAGAAACATCAGATGACTTACTTTTCAGCGAGAGTTGCCTGTTCATATATGTCAATGTTGAAAACGACTGGCACTAGAGATATTAGATGACTTACTTTTCAGCTAGAGTTGCCTGTTCATTTATGCCAATGTTGAAAAATACTGGCATAAGAGACATCAGATGACTTACTTTTCAGCTAGAGTTGCCTGTTCATTTATGCCAATGTTGAAGAAGACTGGCACAAGAGACATTAAATGACTTACTTTTCAGCTAGAGTTGCCTGTTCATTTATGCCAATGTTGAAGAAGACTGGCACAAGAGATATCAGATGACCATGTAGGATCTCAATTGGCAGAAGTTGGAACATATTTTCTGGGACAGGAATTTCTACCACTATCGCATCCCTAAAAAAATAATCATGATTGCTGTTAAAGATGTTCAATTCAAACAAAAGTCATGTAATTTGACAAAATATTTATGTTTTGGTTTTGTACTTTGCTTGTACTTTAAATGTTCTATGCCAGGTATGCATGCCTTTGCACATGTATATGTATGTGCTACATTATTGCAACGGCTTTGCGAATGGATGTTGACCCTTTGAATTGCCTCTGGACTCCGAGACTGGATTTTGTCTATCCCACATCGTTTTAGAATGAATGCTCTTTTAAGAGTACATGTACTCGTAGACAGGTTTGAGTCCCTATAAATGGAACACCCCCCAAGTTTTGCACTAACAAAGGTGTACCACTTCTAGATTATTGAAATTTTGGAAGCAATTGTATAATTGAATGTTAAATCTATTTTTGAAATCTATGGTATGCTAAAGATGTTAGGGCAAAATGAAATATGGATGTCTTTTGGCCCATTCTGTACATGTAGTTATTTTACATTATATATCATGCATTATAATAGCACAAGAATGTAGTATGTCTGGTACTGTTCATGATCTTCACTATACAATTCATGTGCAACCATTAACCCTGGGGTAATGCAAAATGACTAAATATGGAAAATATGACCAAATATGATGAAATATGTACCTGTCTATGTTAGTAAGGGGTCCAGCAGGCATGCAGTCTCTAAAGGAATGGAAAATACCAAACGTTAAATTCAGACAATGTGCACTCCACACCCAGCCATCAGTTTCATGCAATATGCAATCTCATCACAATGAGATGTAATAATAGTGCTCAATTGTCAACAGTTGTGGAGGAACAAAGTAAAGTTCATAATGGTGAGTGTATTATTAATTAGCATTAATTATAAAATGAAAGTAGATTACATATCAAAGTACCCTATATCAATATTAGTCATTAGGTATACTTGTATTATTTGGAATTTAAGAAATAAATAAAACAAACAAACAAACAAGGTTAATCACCCAGGTTTTCTTTGGATGGGAAAAAGGTAGTAGCCAATATAATGGCTGCATCGACACTTATTAATTTTTTTGTAATTGCATTCAAAATGTTTGAGGGTGCTATTTGTTAAATAGTAATAATGAAACACACGACAGTATACAATTAACATTATTCCAGAAGTATTGTTCTGTCAAATTTTGGCAAGGCATGTATGTAGTTCTCATACCTGACTTACCTTTCAGGCCTGTAGCCAGCACTGCCAAGGGAGGATGGAGTCATTTTTATTAATTTCTAGGGTGTTTGATAATTTGGGCCCAAAATCCGGGCACAAAATCGCTTGAAAAGAGTTAAAATGGTGAAAAGTTGTATGATTTTGAAAGTATTTTTACAAGATGGGGGGGGTTGTTAAAACCCCCTGAATCCCACCTGGCTACAGCCCTGCCTCTAACATGTCAACAATTTGAGTCTGAACACCCTGTATTCTTTGTTTTCCCATACATACCTAACACCCTGTATTCTTGGTAGAATCTCATTTGTTTTATGAGACTGAATAAGTTTGATTTTGACTCGTTGTAAATCTTGTACCCCGATCATCATATCTTCAATCATAGCCATCTCATCGCCATGACAACTGAGCAAACTCTCAAACTCCAGTAATACTCCAAGTTTGAAGAGCTGGCGGAGAAACGTTTCGTTGGTCATACTGCTGCGTAACTTGGTCATAAATGCCGTCACAACTGATGTTAACTTTAAAAAACATTTTAGATTCTATCATTTGCGATTGCATATGATCCAGCATGTACACGTACAGAAATAATCATTATTTGATAATCTTTTTTCATTGAATGAATGATGAAATGGTTAAAATTTTGTCAAAGTGACAACTTAAAGAGAGAATCAGATATAGCGAGCAGGCTAAACAAAAAATTGTTTCAAACTAAGCATATTTTTTGCTTATGTCATTCCTTGTCATGTCTATTTTCTAAAAATCACAAAAGTGCATACTTTATTCCAGGAAAACTAAAGATTTTTACAATAATGTATTATTTTTCTCTAAGAATGGTTACCATTCTTATTATTTGGGAGAATTTAAACATTTTCATTCTTTTTTGCACTTTGAATCATTAATAACTTCACCAATTTAAAACATATTCTGAATCTTTTGGGAGATATTGTATTTGATACATGTATTGTAAGGAATAGATTGGTAAGGTCAACTATACATGTTGCTTGTAATTTTGTCATCCCCTATAGATCAGATTCTGCCTTTAATAAAAACATACATGCACTGTCATTATTCACTCCTAAGAAGTTAAAATGATGAATTCCAAAATTTAACTTAAAGGCCTTTCTGCAGAAGACAAAACCAAACCAAACAATATGACGTAGCTGCAGTAAGATTGTCACAGACAGATTCAAAATGAATTCTCATAAAATTTGACTTGCCAGGAATCCTTATGAGAGAAACATTGTGAGGAACAAATGCTGCACATTAACTTAATGTACAAATTAATACACAGCTAAAATCATGAAATAAAGAATTTAAAGAAAACTCACAGCCTGAGAGAAGACTATATCTCTTCTATATCTGAGTGTATGGACAAAGCTCTGGCTTTTACTTCTTTCCTGAAAGAGGAGGCATCACAAAGTAAACAACAACACTTATGGGGTGAGTACTACAAATGTTTTAGGAAATATTTGAAAAGCAAAAAATTGACTAAATACACGTAGGAAACCATATATGCACACTTATAAAGTATCTCCATAAAAAAAAAGAAAGTATCTCCACATTTGTCAAAGCTCCAGTTTTTATTTTTTTGTTAGTAACGCCTCTTGTAATCTCTCATAAGAGACCATTGAACATGTAAATAAAACCCTTTTACCATTTCACTTCACATTCAATCGCTAGTGTTTCCTATACTTACTGTTAGAGCAAAAAATGTAAGACTAGATTTGGCACGCTTGCTCATAGCTTCTACACAGCTTTTCAGCTTCACTGTTAGTGGCGTGATATCTTCTAACCAGTTAGATAGATCTACTAGTGACTCTTCTATATGACTAACTGATGATACCACACACATCATGGCTGCTTCTGTGTTCAGACGAACCATGTCCTGAAAAATAAAAAATAAAAAATAAAAAAAATTAAAAATTAAAAAAAATAATAATAATAAAAAAATTAAAAAAAAAATGTCCTGAAAATACAATAAGGACAATAATCGATTTACATACATTGAAACCTGTAAAGTGGAACACCTCTAGAAGTGGAATGCCTCTGTTAATGGATCACTTTTCAGAGTCCCAAAACCAACTAACTTAAAGTCAAATGGACCTCTACAAGTGGAACATCTCCCAAATGGAACACTTTTTAGAGGTACCAAAGGTGTGTCTCTTAGACAGGTTTTACTGTACAATTAATTTGGTACAATCATTAATTTAAAGTGGGTTCTAGCTTAAATTTGCATGTGACCAAATAATTTTTTTCTCAAAATTGTTTTATTCCAATACATGTTTTTTGAGAAATGTAACTGTTTTCATGTTAAAAATTATAATTTTAAACAATTTTGCCTGTTTTTCATTTGCTTTTATTTTTCAGTTGTCAGAAATTCAGAATATCAGTATGCAAATTTATATTTAATATTCAACCAGGTTTCTCATTCTACAAGACCATTAGTTACACCCCAGTCACATTTGTCATATGGAGGCCGTGCGTCGACGGCAGATCAATTAAATCAGTGTATTTCTGCGGCGAGCGTAGGAAAACTACGCTCGCCTTGCGGCCTCCGTACGGCGTATCTAGTTGTTTACAGGCCGCAGGGTCGCCGTAGAAATTATAACTCGTAGTTATGATATTTGTTCATTTCTGAGGTCCCCGTAGAAATCAACTGGCTCAGCAAGATTGAATCATTATTTGTCAATGTTTCACGATCACTTTTCATTTGATATTACATCCTAGCACTATGAATAACATTTAGAAATTGTCCCGATGTAAATAAAATGAAAAAAGTATAATTTATCAACAGAAATTTTAAATTCACCGTGCGGCTGCCGTGGGAAATTTGACTGCAAAAGTATGAGAGCGCAGAAATTCCACGGCGAGCGTAGAAATGTTACTGGCCGCAGAAATGATAGACCGCAAGGTCGCCGTAGGAAATGTGACTGGGGTGTTAGTGAAAAAAAATTAATATTTTTTAAATAATTATATTACCCAGGGTTCCTCTTGCATTGCTTTATTATTATCAGGATTACTCCATGGCGGCCATCTTTGTTCTTTATTTTCAATCTCAGGGGTCTCCGGAGATAATGGCGGGGAATCTATTGAATCAACATCAGTGTAAGAACGCCTTCTCTTTAACTTAGCTTGCTCTAAGGCGAAAGCAGGATTCATAAGTTCTATAGCAGGAGATAATGAGACAACACCACGTCTGTCCCCTGGGGCACCATGTTTGGCATTTGAGTACAGCTGAACTGCTTTCTTGACTAGAGGATCGTCTAATAAATCCAAAAGTTGTTGTGTCTGAAAATGAGTCATGGCAGTTATGTTTAAATGCACAAATTACATGTCCAATAAACATATTTTGCAAAGCCAAAGAACCCAGGATATATAAAAGGTAGTAATTTTTCCAAACAGAATTATGATTAACTAATTGTCCATGTCTCTGTGTTGCAAAGGTTAGCAAGCTGGATTTCTGATTCTGAGGTCCTGGGTTCAATCCCAGCATGTGGCAAAAGGAATGTTAACTGGTACACCAGAATGTTGATTACTAGAGTGCAGCTGATTCCATAAAAAACTGGCACTGACTAGAACTGTCTCTGGTTCCAGCCAGGATAAAGATACCAGCTTAATATGAGGATCTGTTTTTACCTTTAGGTATCAAGTTACATTATGCTAACACACGTATATGCCATATGGTGTCTGTGTGAGAAATTTGTAATTCAAAAATGAAGTGAAATGAACTATTTGCCATTGAACAATTGTATGTGGTTTTGCAGGGATAGAGACACCTAAGCCTATAACATAACATAATAAATCTGGATTTATTGGAAAGATCTATTCACCTCATTTTCGATTGACCCACTCTCTACAAGTATGACAATATTCATCATTATATTTGTGAGAAACCCAGTGCCTACCTTAAATAGCTATTGAGCAATCTGTTATTTTTTAAATTCAATTAAGGTGGGACATGATCCATCAATAAACTTTTTCATATGTGTTCAATGCTACATTCATGATGCAAACACATACCTGCCTTTATGTTGAAGGAAAAAGTCCCACCTTAAATGAGACTTACTTTTTCAGTCAATGCAGAGACAGATTTCTTAAGCTCACTCAACGACCTTTGCAGAGCAGCTCTACATACACCTTCACAATGGTAATGTATATCATCCCTTAATCGAATCAAATTGTTTTGGATTTTATAATATTTCCTCATTTTGTCATCTAACTGAGATTCTCCACTGTTAAGGTCAAATATTTCACGTTGTTGATTCAAGAGTCTTTTTAGTCCGCCATTTTTGTATTTTTGAGAGTAGGCTGTAAATGCTCCAACTGTCGTGATGTCATAGCAACCACCTAATTTAAAATAAACAAAAAATACAAAATAAGTAAAAAAGGCTCTTGCAATTATAATCATAAAATACCATTAAACTATTGAACAACAGTAAAACCTGGATAGTGGTATACTGTTGTACATGTATAAGTTAAGTGGAACACATTTTTAAATGTTCATTAAACCTCGATTTAGTGGAAAAGCCTAAGTTGAATGATTTTGAACAGAACAGAAGTTCCACTTACACAGGTTTTACTGGATAATATTCACAATCAAATAGTGAATCTAAAAATATGATGTAAATCACTTGGGCTAGTTGAAAACACAAATCTAATGCACATTTACTATTTATGTTACATGTAGTACTCCATCATATGAGTACTGTATATACCATGACTGCTCAGAGCCCAAGAAATTGTTAGCATTTCCTTTCAGTGAAATAACACAATTTAAATTGTTTCTTAAGTTTGAAACAAAGTTAGAATCTTGATCCTACAGGAACTAATCTTATTTCCAGAAACATTGGTAATGTGAAGCAAAAAGAAAGAAAAATCTTAAAGAAAGAAAAAAAACGGAAGATTTTCTTACTTGTCTCTTTCATTGCATTCTGAGCCCAGATTCTCTGCAAGTGTAAATTAGTGGGCACGAATTCTAACTCTTTATTTGCTTTCAGTCTACTGGGTTTGAATGGGGCACCTAAAATCATAACAATGTAAACATGTACGTATACAAGGCTCCTACAGGTCAACTATGGTTAGCAGGATTAATTCTGTAAAATGGCCAGATGACCATGCTTTTCATTTGCTATCTTTACACTTAAATTACAAGTCAAAATGAGAGTAATGATTATTTACAAAGTAAATAGGTTTTAATAGCATAGCGACATCTTTATTATCTTACCATAACTGATTATTAGTGCATGTGTATTTTCATTCGATTTACACGTACAGTAGTCATAGTTGAGTAAAGCTGTTTTTTGTAAGATGTTCATTTCATGTATCAATTAAAAGCACTTTTAAGATGCACTATACCTGTGTATCCAAAGACCTCTGGTTGTGAATGTTTTGCAGTCCCATTTTTTATTATGCTAAACTACCATGTAACAAACCTTGAAATGTTAACACCTGCCAAACAAAACACTTTGACTGGTCCCAATGGTATTCAGATTAGAAAGCTTACTTTGCGATCTTGGATTTTTTTCATTTTCACAATTAAACTGTCATTTACATTTGGTCATATTATTGTATATTATTGAAACTCACCATTTTGTTCAGCAAGGAACCTGACATTTTTCTTGTAAACGCTAATGAGATTCATATGTAACTCCAAAGCTTCCTTCACTTTACTATTCCACTCTGCACTTAACTGAAACAAACAACAGCTCATGTATATCAGCTCAATCACAAAGTACTGAGACTATTGGCTATTGGGACTCCCATTATACCATCTATTTGGGAGTTTAAGCTATACAATTTTAAATGAACTTGTACCTGAACATGTATGGTTCTCTGGGCTTTATAGTTTTCCTCTTCGCATCATTAACTTGCCAGACTGAGTGTAAAGGCACAAAGAAAAATGTTGTAATTAAAGGCCCACTATACTTAATTGAAAATATGCAAAGTAGGCCTTTAAGTCTCTGGAAGAACCAATCGAGAGAGGGACAGTAATCTCTGGGGGTTATAATATTAATATAGATACTAGAATAGTAATCTAGTAAGTATCATAGCACTTATAACTCAAAAACTTAAGTGCGATACACATGTTATTTTTATACACAATATTCTATTAAATGAACAAACAGTGCGGTTTCCAAATTGTAATTTTAAAAGGGTAAGATAAAGTCTTAAAGGATTTCAAATAAGCGCACGTAAAAAATGAGAAAAATTATTGCGGATAAGGTGTTATCACTAAGATTATCACTTGAGACCATACTCAACATAAAAGTTGCATTGGAACTGTGCACTCATTGTTATTAGAGAGAATATGATAAGTCTAGTAAAAGTAACGTACAACTCCAAGGTCTTGTAGTTGCTGCATGGATCTACTCTCTTCCTCAATCCACAGAGAACTGCAATTAACAAAGGCATACAATTAAAAATAATGTACTATGATATTTCGAATAATGATAATTGACTGTGATTGGTCAGATCAAATATTAATACCCATTCATAATTTATGATGAACAATGCAACCAAATCACAATACCCATTCATAATTTATGATGAACAATACAACCAAATCACAATAACTTATGATGAACAATGCAACCAAATCACAATTCCTGTTCATAATTTATGATGAACAATGCAACCAAATCACAATACCCGTTCATAATCTATGATGAACAATGCAACCAAATCATAATACCCATCCATAATTTATGATGAACAATGCAACCAAATCATAATACCCATCCATAATTTATGATGAACAATGCAACCAAATCACAATTCCTGTTCATAATTTATGATGAACAATGCAACCAAATCACAATACCCGTTCATAATCTATGATGAACAATGCAACCAAATCATAATACCCATCCATAATTTATGATGAACAATGCAACCAAATCACAATACCCATTCATAATTTATGATGAACAATGCAACCAAATCATAATACCCATCCATAATTTATGATGAACAATGCAACCAAATCACAATACCCGTTCATAATTTATGATGAACAATGCAACCAAATCACAATACCCATTCATAATTTATGATGAACAATGTGACCAAATCACAATACCCATTCATAATTTATGATGAACAATGCAACCAAATCACAATACCCGTTCATAATCTATGATGAACAATGCAACCAAATCATAATACCCATCCATAATTTATGATGAACAATGCAACCAAATCACAATACCCATTCATAATTTATGATGAACAATGCAACCAAATCACAATACCCGTTTATAATCTATAATGAACAATGCAACCAAATCATAATACCCATCCATAATTTATGATGAACAATGCAACCAAATCACAATACCCATTAATAATTTATGATGAACAATGCAACCAAATCACAATACCTGTTCATAATTTATGTTGAACAATGCAACCAAATCACAATACCTGTTCATAATTTATGATGAACAATGCAACCAAATCACAATACCCATTCATAATTCATGATGAACAATGCAACCAAATCACAATACCCATTCATAACGTATGATGAACAATGCAACAAAATCACAATACCCGTTCATAATTTATTGATGAACAATGCAACCAAATCACAATACCCGTTCATAATTTATGATGAACAATGTAACCAAATCACAATACCTGTTCATAATTTATGATGAACAATACAACCAAATCACAATAACTTATGATGAACAATGCAACCAAATCACAATTCCTGTTCATAATTTATGATGAACAATGCAACCAAATCACAATATCCGTTCATAATTTATGATGAACAATGTAACCAAATCACAATACCCATTCATAATTTATGATGAAAAATGCAACCAAATCACAATACCCGTTCATAATTTATGATGAACAATGTAACCAAATCACAATACCCATTCATAATTTATGATGAACGATGCAACCAAATCACAATACCCATTCATAATTTATGATGAACCATGCAACCAAATCACAATACCCATTGATAACTTATAATGAACAATGCAACAAAATCACAATACCCATTCATAATTTATGATGAACAATGCAACCAAATCACAATGCCCGTTCATAATTTATGATGAACAATGCAACCAAATCATAATACCCTTTCATAATTTATGATGAACAATGCAACCAAATCACAATACCCGTTCATAATTTATGATGAACAATGCAACCAAATCACAATACCCGTTGATAATTTATTATGAACAATGCAACCAAATCACAATACCCGTTCATAATTTATGATGAACAATACAACCAAATCACAATACCTGTTCATAATTTATGATGAACAATGCAATCAAATCACAATACCCATTCATAATTTATGATGAACAATGCACCCAAACAAAAATGAACCAATTGGTGTATAATGTGAAAGCAAACTGCTATAAATGTTTATATTTTATAAATGAATAGAAATAAAAAGAAACGAACCACTGTACTAACTTACAGTAATTGCTTTGGTATATTGAAGGTCAGTTTGCTTTCTCCCATGTACTCCCACACTCTGAGCTGTGTACCTCCTGCAGTGGGAAACCTATAGCTCTTTGTCACTATGTTGTCATAAACAGGTTTAAGCATATCTCGCCTCTTCGTTTTACATTCCATTGGGGATATGGGTTGATCCTGTAAGGTAAAAAGTTACTGTGATTTGTCATTTCTGTTTTTTTAATATCAGGCCTCCTAAGCTCTTAAGTACCCCAGTGGTTCCCTAGTGGTTCCCTAGTAGTTCCCTAATGGTTCCCTAGTAGTTCCCCAGTGGTTCCCTAGTAATTCCGTAGTGGTTCCCTAGTAGTTCCCCAGTGGTTCCCTAGTAGTTCCCTAGTGGTTCCCTAGTAATTCCCTAGTGGTTCCCTAGTAGTTCCCCAGTGGTTCCTTAGTAGTTCCCTAGTGGTTCCCTAGTAGTTCCCTAATGGTTCCCTAGTAGTTCCCTAGTGGTTCCCTAGTAGTTTCCTAGTGGTTCCCTAGTAGTTCCCTAGTGGTTCCTTAGTAGTTCCTTAGTAGTTCCCTAGTGGTTCCCTAGTGGTTCCCTAGTAATTCCCTAGTGGTTCCCTAGTAGTTCCCCAGTGGTTCCTTAGTAGTTCATAGTGGTTCCCTAGTAGTTCCCTAATAGTTCCCTAGTAGTTCCCTAGTGGTTCCCTAGTAGTTCCCTAGTGGTTCCCTAGTAGTTCCCTAGTGGTTCCCTAGTAGTTCCCTAGTGGTTCCCTAGTAGTTCCCTAGTGGTTCCCTAGTAGTTTCCTAGTGGTTCCCTAGTAGTTCCCTAGTGGTTCCTTAGTAGTTCCCTCGTAGTTCCCTAGTGGTTCCCTAGTAGTTCCCCAGTGGTTCCTAGTAGTTCCCTAGTTATTCCCCAGTGGTTCCCTAGTGGTTCCTAGTAGTTCCCTAGTGGTTCCCTAGTGGTTCCCTAGTGGTTCCCCAGTGGTTCCCTAGTGGTTCCCCAGTGGTTCCCTAGTAGTTCCCTAGTAGTTTCCTAGTAGTTCCTTAGTGGTTCCCTAGTGGTTCCCCAGTGGTTCCCTAGTAGTTCCCTAGTAGTTTCCTAGTAGTTCCTTAGTGGTTCCCTAGTAGTTCCCCAGTGGTTCCCTAGTAGTTCCCTGTCCTAGTGACTATTGTACTAATTACTGGGTTCTCATTTCTTTTTCATGTCTGACATGCCTTGTCAAGTCAATTCATGCCTTTGGGCCATAGGGCACGTAAAGTCTTTATTCTATTAAATCTTATCTTGTCTTGTGAGATAGGATGAGTACCACTGGATTTTTATTTCATTATCTAAAATCAATTTTGGTGCAGTATGTCATGTCAATTAAGACCTGTATTGATATAGGAAACAATATTCTATAAAGGGTATGGACTGGAACTTAGCATGATGGAATCACCATGCATGGAGTAATATAAGTCAATCAGTGCAAAGGTGAAATTATCTCCTCTGCTTCTGGCCCAGTTCAAGAAGGTGATAACTCTTGAGCAAAAAAAAACAAAAAAAACTCTTGAGCAACATCTAACCCAACCCAATCCTTGCCAAGTCTATCATATCTCCTAGGGCTGAGATGATGGCCCAATGAGCTGACCTCCCGAGGCCTTTAGGTTCAGGCCTTTAGGACCCAAATCAAAAACTGTAGTTAAAGATTCAAAGTCTTTCAGGTTGAAAAAATAACTAAAGAAATGCTAATTATACAACCTGACTTGAGTTGGAACTCGAATCAATCTTTTTCTCACCCTGACCCAGATCGTGTATCTTTGTCCCATCCCATCCTAACTACCTTTCAAGACAATACATGCAGTTTCTTACCTCATTCCCATTCATCATATGTGATAGACTCTGGTCCTGCCAGGCTGTCACTGTGACATAGCCAGATTCCTCAAAGTCAGGGGACCTAGAAACAGAATAAAAACTGTATTCTCAAGTCATCGTAGATGCATATTATGATTTAATAAAACTCCCACGTGATCATTTTGGAGTATCTAACAGATTCATTTAAAAGAGCAACAGCAATAAGCCAGTAAGTTATTGCTTTGCTTGACCCGTAGCCAGCTTTTACCAGGAGGGGGAGCTTTTTTCCAGCGGGGAGCTTTTTACAATTTTGGCTAAAAATCATGCGAAAAATTCTCAGAATGGTGAAAAACTGCATGATTTTGAATGAATTTCTGGCCAGGGGGGGGGGGAGCTTCCGCTCCCCCTCTGGCTACGGTCCTGCTTTGGTAGACAATACATTGTTGCTACAATATCCCAGGAACAATATCTATAGGTTTCTTTTCTTGGTTACTGTACTGTATTATGGTTTTTCCGAGTCCAAGAATAAAACACCATGGCAGATATACAAAAAATTCTGATTAAGTTTTGAGCAATCTAAAGTTGCTTTTTCATATGAGAGAGTCTGATAGATAAGATTCATTCATGAAATGGGAAAAATTCAAAATATTAGTCAATACTATAAGATGAGAACCCCCTTGTTTTTTAAATTAGTTTTTGACTTACTGTAGCTTTAGTCTAAGTCTGTCTGCCTCTGCAGCCAAAAGGTCTTTAATGGTGAATACTGCTTGTCCTAATTGAGCCATCTAAAAATGACAGGTTCATTCATTTATTTTAGCATCTATGATTTACAAGCAAAATAACACATATACAGTTTCAATATGAAAAATTCTAAGAATAATATACAAATATTGAATGATGTTGAGTGCAATACCTGTATTTATTATATCATTGAAATGTTTCTCGCTTTCTCATTGGATAAGAACCGATCACATGATTAAAAATATTAGGGTGTATTTTATCGTTTCCTGCAGCCTCCAGCCGCAGCCTCGTTTTCAACTGTATATACCACGATGTATATACCACGGAGTATATACCACGGTAGAAAGTCCCGGATGTTATGTTTTTGTTATGACGTCACAACAATATTGTGGAAAATACTTGGATACGCAGGGCAATAAAACTTCATTGTTATGACGTCACAGCTTATATTTGTAGTATGAGCATGGTTACTCATAGCAATTGTGTATCCGTTGCCATGTTCTTGATGTTTATAAACCAGTGATGTCACAAGTCATCTTGCACGTATGACTTTTGAGGATGAAAGATGGCAATATCTTGCATCTAAGAGAAGCTGTAGTTAGAGTGGTTATTTTGACGAGCACATGCGTTGTATCTATGCGTTAAAAGAAATACACTTAATTTGTAGAACATTCAAATGATATAATAAATCAAATATTCCATTCTATTTTCGGTGAATACATGGTCATCTTTCCCTCAGGTATATTTCCCTTGCCCTTCGGGCTGCGGGAAATATACTGAGGGAAAGATGAACATGTATTCACCTCAATAGAATGGAATATTTGGTATATATTTCTGAGGGTGTATTCCACCCAGCCCGAAGGGCAAGTGGAATACATCCCCCTGTAATATTTAGAGGTTATGTCACTATGACGTGAAATATGCCTGAGTTCTCCCAATATAGGCCGACCTTGGGAGGCTCTATATTTGGGCAAGAACGAAGGCATATTTCACGTCATAGTGACATAACTGATGTATAACATGCCTTTGTTTCCATGGTTACTTTGTATCAATGACGTGACGTCATGATATTATCATGGTTATTAAAGAAATCTAATATCAAAACGAAGTAAGCGGGCTATATCGGGGTAATCGGGCAATATCGGTGGATATAGCTCGCTAACTTTCCCATTGACTTCCATACAAATGCTTCGCTAGGTATGTAATACATACAGGTATTGCAGGAAAACAGAATTCAATATTTGTTTTATTATTTCATACATATCATCAGTTTAACAATATTCCTCTATCAACTATATAGTGTCTCAAAAATTGAAAATTGGATAAATAATGCCACATGTTCAAAGTAGTCTATACATGTGACGTCACATTCGTTGAATACCTGTACTTATTTTTCTAAAAATACACCTTTCATATCGATGACTTACACATGAATGGAATACCTTGTGGTATTTTTGGTCACATGTTACATGACTGACCAATCACATGCTGATTATCACTACAGAGAAATAATAAAGCTATATATCCTTTAATATAATCATAACATTGCGTTTATACCTTTATCCCACCCTAAGTGCTTTATATGATTGTATAATAGCATTGTATAACTGCAATATAAAACCAACACTCATCGTATACAACTCTTGAGAACGATATACAACTCCGGGATAGCGTATACAACTTCCGGATAGCGTATACAACTCCTGGATAGCGTATACAACTCTTCGACTTGATTACTTGGGTGGGATAATAAGATCATATAATGGTTGATTCTGTATATCGTTATACTCTCGTGAGTATATGATATATTCACTCGTTCCCTTCAGTCACTCGTGAATATATCATATACTCACTTGAGTATAAACACGATATACAGAATCAACCATTATATAACCTCATATTATACCTGGTTCAGTTTTTTATATATTGTGGATAGTGACTGAACTGTTAAAGGCTAGGGAAAGCCAAGTGATATCACTGGTTTAAATAAGCACAGCATAAGAGACAGATAATGGGTTTTAGGACAATATAAAGATGGCAGCACTGGTAGAATTTTACAACAAACAATTTGATTGTGCTGCCATCTTTATTAAAGATTATTTCTATTGCTCTTTAGCCTAAGAGCCTAAGAGGTAGATACTGAATCTTATGTCAATTTCAACAATGGATCAAATTAAGGTGAATTTGTCATTCTACCTAGATGGGAATTGAACCCACAACCTTCATATAACATGACAAGTGCTGTACCACTTTAGCTATTGGGACTGGAGCTTTGAAACATTTGCATACATGGCAATGCTGTCAAGATTTGCTTGCCCAGTTTCCTGGACCATACATATAATATATACAGGGTGGTCCAAAAAAATGGGACACTCGTATTTCAAGAATAAATATTGATTTTCTTCATGAAAACATGTCATGTTATATACCATTGGATAGGGAATTTACTTATCTTTAATTTGGTATATCATAAGTTCAGATTTATTATAATGTCTGTCAACCAGCATTCATAATATAAATGACGTCATTTTCATTTCAAAACGGGTTTTCCAAAACTTGCAAATTAAAACCAAGTTTTATTGTCAACTTTATTTCTGTTCAATATGTCCACCATTTTGATCAATTGTAGCCCTTAATTTGGCCTAAACTGGCCAACAGCATCATTGATATTCTCTTGAGACAATGAATTCCACTTCTCAATAATTTAATTCTGACCTTGAGAGACTGAAAATGTGTAAATAAAGTTGACAAAAAACTTGTTTTTTGCAAGTTTTTGAAAACCTGTTTTGAAACTAAAATGACGTCATTTATGTTATGGACGCTGGTTGACAGACATTATAATAAATTTGAACTTATGATACACCAAATTAAGGATAAGTAAATTCCCTATCCATTGGTAGATAATATGACATGTTTTGATCAAGAAAATCAATATTTATTTTTGAAATACGAGTGTCCCATTTTTTTGGACCACCCTGTATTTAGTTACATTATGTGTTAATTATATGTTATGGTATCACTGGCGGATCCAGCTCCCCCCCCCCCCCCCCTTTGTGAGCCAAGAAAAAAATGTTAGGGCCCCAAAAATTGTTGGACCCAAAAATTGTGTAGGGTCTCAAAATGGGCCTTTCTGGGCATAATTTGACCTTCTAAGCCAAATTATCAAAAAACTTTTTCCTGACTTAAAATTTGCCCCCCTCCCCTTGTAGCTTCTGGATTCGCCAGTGGGTATAATACATCATAAACTGTTTTTTTTAATCAATATCTTTGAATCAATAATATGTTATAGAAATAAGGGATGGGAATGGGATATAGGGTATATGGTATATAGTAGCAAAAATAAAGGTATTCAAAGCCCGCATAAAGAGGGGATAGTGTACATGTAGCCTTAATTAAGGTATTTAATATGAAGGACGATTGAGTTGCAGTATAACATTTGCAAGTTAGGTTATTGATTTAATATTGCAAACCTTTCTTAACTGTTCAGCTTTTTGTCAAAGGACGATTCTCGGTTTGGAGAACAGTCTCCTGAGCTAATATTTTTTTTCATGAAAAATATAGAAATATTACCCAAATTAAACTATGAATATTCAAAAGAGGACATTTAAATCTACAAGATGTAAAAATATCAAATTGGTCTGGAGCAGGGATAACGCTCAATTAGACCGATTTTAATAAAATACAAGTCTCGATTTGGGGAAAGAAGTTCATCAATGTACTGCGCAAATATTTTTTTGAGAAAAATCTAGAAATATTACCCAAATTAAATTATGACTATTCAAAAGAGAACATTCAAATCTATATTATGTAAAAAAATCAAATTTGTCCGAAGCAGGGATAATGCTCATCTAGATTGATGAACTTTGTTCTCCAAACCGAGAATCGTCCTTTTGTATTTTTTCAGATTCACAAATTTTAATGATTTTACGTCATCATTCAACATTGAGTCAATGTGATATAATGAAATGGTGGAAGCAGGTCTTAATCATAAAACATGATCAAACTCAAAAATATGACACTTTTATCACCACATGATGTCATTATGAAAAAATATAGAAGTCATATATGACAGCACAACAAATATGTCATTGTCATTTCAGATGAATAGAAATAAAAACATCTGGAAATAGAAAAATCTGGATGTCTGTGAACAGAAATATGTCTGAGATTCATGCTACAGATCTTTATTGAAATGTTTACTAAAAAATAATGAGGCAAAAAGTTTAAGCTGGTAATTATAAGTCTTAAAAATGTATAGCAGGTTAAAGCAGTGACCATTTAAATACATAAAGCAATTAAAATATGCATACACCCCCTGGATAGCGTCTGTTCTTGAGTATTGGCCTGATATTTAGCTACAATATAACATGAAATATTTTATGAAACTGAAACATATACAGCTTGTATATCATTATTTCCAATTTGATATTGAAATATCAGAATAGTCATGCTAATTTTGACTTTATTTTGATGTATATCATGTACATAATTTAAAATGTACATGTACTTTAAAATGATACATTACAACACATAATTTCAACTCATTCATTAGCACCAACATATATCGCATACTGGTGTATTACATGTATAATATATAATACATGTATGTTTGAGATTGTTTGTCAGGTCAAATGAATGAAGTCTTTAATTCTCAGATATTTCTAAACTATTTGGAATGCTCTCTATATTTTATTTTTCCCATGTCATTTTTTGACAAAATAATGAGGTCTATGCATGTACATTTATAATTAAGTCTGACGTTCTCAAAACCTTTTACATTTCAATGCCAGTAATGTCTTATTTAACATCCACATACAAAATCATTGATCACACATGGGTGACAATTCTTGCCAATTCCTCTCTTTTCCACTTGATGTTGTCATACTTTATTTTATTTATTAACACAATACCAATGTTACTGGTGTCTGTGTCCCCCTTATAATGTTTATTTACAATTCATTAAACATGTCTTGACATTTAGAGAACAAAATTAGCAACATACTGAAATGAGCATATACTATTGATAAGAATTTGTATTAATTAATACATTAATATTAAATGTGAACATGTCGTACTTTAAATGTACTAAAATGTTTACATATACTTTAACACAGAAAAACAAGGCACAGACGTGAACAGTATCGTACCTAAAACACAGCATTGTGACAGTGAAGAATTTAGGACGGAAAATCCATAATGGCCACCTTAAAATTTACCCAGAATGCCCAAAAACTGATCAGTTCTTTACTTTGATACGTAAAAACATCTCTGAGAATTTCAGATGAATCCATCAAATGGTTTGGCTGGAAACCTGTCGACAAGTCTTGAAAGTGAAGATTTTAGGACGGAAAATCCGTAATGGCCACCTTTAAATTAACCCAGAATGCCCAAAAACTAATCAGTTGTTAACTTTGATATGTAGAAACATCCCTGTAAATTTCAAATGAATCCGTCAAATGGTTTGGCTGGAAACCTGTAGACAAGTCTTGAAAGTGAAGATTTTAGGACGGAAAATCCAAAATGGCCACCTTAAATTTTACCCAGAATGCCAAAAAACTAATCAGTTCTTAACTTTGATACATGGAAACATCCCTGAAAATTTCAGATGAATCCGTCAAATGGTTTGGCTGGAAACCTGTAGACAAGTCTTGAAAGTGAAGATTTTAGGACGGAAAATCCAAAATGGCCACCTTAAAATTTACCCAGAATGACCAAAAACTAATCAGTTCTTAACTTTGATAGGTAGAAACATTCCTGAAAATTTCAGATGAATCTGTCAAATGGTTTGGCTGGAAACCTGTAGACAAGTTGAAAAGTGAGACGCCGCCCGCCCGCCGCCCGCCCGCCCGTCAAGCTGACGACAATATCGTACCTTTATTAGGTACGATAACTAGATAATATGTAAATGTTCAATAAAGAGGTACTACATCAATTTAATATTTCCATAATTTTACTCTATCAAAGTTAGTGTCTAATGAGTGAGAACCTTATGGAGTTATTTTGTTCTGTTTTTAATAGATATAAAACATAAATCTGAAACATAAAAACCAATAATTTCATTAGTTATCTTACTGTAGGAGTGCAATTTGAGACATTTTCCTCATAAATACATGTTTGGATTTTAGCATATTGCCTCTTTAATACAAAAATACCCAGAATACCCAGAATGCCCAAAAACTGATCAGTTCTTTACTTTGATACGTAAAAACATCTCTGAGAATTTCAGATGAATCCATCAAATGGTTTGGCTGGAAACCTGTCGACAAGTCTTGAAAGTGAAGATTTTAGGACGGAAAATCCAAAATGGCCACCTTAAAATTTACCCAGAATGCCCAAAAACTCATCAGTTCTTAACTTTGATACGTAGAAACATTCCTGAAAATTTCAGATGAATCCGTCAAATGGTTTGGCTGGAAACCTGTAGACAAGTCTTGAAAGTGAAGATTTTAGGACAGAAAATCCAAAATGGCCACCTTAAAATTTACCCAGAATGACCAAAAACTAATCAGTTCTTAACTTTGATAGGTAGAAACATTCCTGAAAATTTCAGATGAATCTGTCAAATGGTTTGGCTGGAAACCTGTAGACAAGTTGAAAAGTGAGACGCCGCCCGCCCGCCGCCCGCCCGCCCGTCAAGCTGACGACAATATCGTACCTTTATTAGGTACGATAACTAGATAATATGTAAATGTTCAATAAAGAGGTACTACATCAATTTAATATTTCCATAATTTTACTCTATCAAAGTTAGTGTCTAATGAGTGAGAACCTTATGGAGTTATTTTGTTCTGTTTTTAATAGATATAAAACATAAATCTGAAACATAAAAACCAATAATTTCATTAGTTATCTTACTGTAGGAGTGCAATTTGAGACATTTTCCTCATAAATACATGTTTGGATTTTAGCATATTGCCTCTTTAATACAAAAAGGCAATCTCCATTGTATATTAACTATCATGAAAATATGCACAACAATTTGCTTGTACTATTATATTTATCAAACAAGGCGTTAAAATGCAAAATGTCACCACCTTCCATTTGTAACAGATGCTGAAGACAAACCCAAACCACTGAGCACTGTCCACAAAAAAAGTTAAGTTGACAAAAAAAGACTAGAATAATATGTTGCATGCAATTATTAGCCACAATTATAGCCTTTATGTTTCATACTTCAAAATCAGAGACTTGACAATATCATTTTTGCCAGATTAAAAAGTACATGTATGTTACTCTGGAATGAAGAAAATAAAAAGGTCTTCAAAATAACCATTATCTCAGAACAAATTGCACATTGAAAATATATAATAATTTTTTCTATTTATTTATTTTTGTTGTTTTGTAAATATATATGAAATGATGTTGTCAAATGAAAAGAAATATAAGCTATTGCCAAATTCAATACACGATACAACTTCTTTTTTCAGCACTTGCTTACAGCTAATTTTATTCTATGCTTATTTTGAAACATGAAACATGGCTAACTTAACCTGACTATACTATAACAAAAGATAATGATTTACTTATATACGTACTGTACTTGTGATTCGTTCCTTTATATCGTACACAGTGAGTTTCACTCGAGTCGATGGTGCTATCATATTTCCCGTTCCAAATGCAATTGTCGTCAAGAAGGCAGGATTACAGGTTTTCTGAAAAGAAAAATATCGCAAGTTGAATTGATAAGTACAGGGGGTATCAAAAGGATTGTCATCTTAAGATAATTAAGATTGACAGATTTAACTGTTGTTGCAGAAAATATATATCCAAATACTGCTTAACTTAATAAAACTCTCCCTCGAACCTAACCCCCATTAACAATAAACATGAACATCTTACTTCTATGATTTCAGAGTGTCCATGTCTAGCCCACTGCTGTTGGGGAGGTGTAATCACACTGACTGCTATGAAAGGGTTCGGAGGAACATTCGCTGCGATACAGGGGAGATTTTCACATGCTGTAAAATAAATCAAAACAGGCTAAAATCTGAAACAAAGAAGATCTTCGCAATCTAGAAAAACAAAATGGACTTAATAATAGATTTTACAAATACAAGGGGGAGTAAATGCATTGTTGGTGAAAAATCATTGCCTTATATCTATTATCAACAAACTTACCCAAGCATATCTCCAGCATGGGTTCCTCGTCACTGACACCTGGGAAATATAAAAAGTATGAGAAAAATGGTTAATTTAAAATAAGCATTATTTTGTCAAACTGGAGCTTGAATACATTTGACTATATTTTTTTAATATTTTTTATTCATTTATTCATGTAGTTAATTATCTGTAGTGTTACATTTACACACTAGATAACCGTAGGGGGTATGTAAGTGCATTATCAAAAACTTCTCTTAGGCATTTTAAATCACTAAGGTTTCAAAGAATCAATTCGCAAACTACCCTTTTCAATAATTTGATTTAGCAATTTTTACGACGACTCATGAAGCATTAAAACTGAGTTGCCCCACTTAGAGTGTAGTAATTATACTAGCCTTAAGGAACCCGTGTATTCCCTATATAAATTGCAACACATTTAGTTAATGAAGCAAAAATTAACAATAACTTTGTATAATTGTATTTCACCTCGCATTTCTGAGTCTTCATCCATCGTAGGTAGAGGATTCTCTAAGGGGTCTCTTCCTGTCTTGCTCTGGATTTGTTCACGGAGGCTCTGTAACTGCATTTGTAGACACTCGTAACTTGCGATATGGAGTACTTCGATCCAGGAATCGCGCTCTTCCTCTGAATTTGAGGCAAGATTTGTCAGCTTCTCATCAGACTCAAATACTGAAAATAAGACAATTATACATTATTGGTGTTATGGTCCAACCATCCTTCTTAGCAGGTGTCCAGAATCTGTACCTTCTTCTTCTTCTTCCCCCCTGCTATAAGCAATTTGGAAGCGCCCGATTAAACTGAATCACGTGATCTAATTATACACCGATGACGTATACATGATTGCTGTCGCAGTGTTGCGACAGCGAATCAAATTGCGAGTTCTTAATCAGGGAAATGCTAACTGCTTATCGCAGCAGGTAAAAAGAAAGAAGATATTTTGGATTTTGAAGCCCTGTGATCGGACGGAGGATGTGGTTCAACTAGTATGGTACAATTCTTTGTTTCGACGCAATATTCATCAGCATCTTTATGAATTCACAAATTGATTATAGCATCCATAGAAACACAATTTTTCTAGCCCAATATTTATATAATTTCTAACTAGTAACTACAATAATACAATTCATGACCAGCTGCACCGTAGTATGTAAATTTCATACTACATACCAATTGTAAAAGAGTATGGTAATTGCTCCTCAAGGTCTAACTGTGTATATTTCATTACTACATACCAATTGTAAAAGAGTACGGTAATTGCTCCTCAAGGTCTAACTGTGTATATTTCATACTACATACCAATTGTAAAAGAGTATGGTAATTGCTCCTCAAGGTCTAACTGTGTATATTTCATACTACATACCAATTGTAAAAGAGTATGGTAATTGCTCCTCAAGGTCTAACTGTACAGCACATCTTTCTAATACAATACATCCTAGAGGTTCTGAGTTCTGAAACAAATTAAACATTGTTGAAGAAATGTTGTTTTTTTGTCTTTATATTTCATTAATTCATTTGGGACAAGGATTTTGCTCTCCAAATTGTCAATTTTCTTATGGTCTATAGTGCTAACTTGAACAAAACTGAGTGAAACAAAGCAAGAAAATATAAATCAAGAATTGTTCCTCATTAACCCTTTCCTGCGCAATCACACCAATCGACATAATTACATAACCTGACCTTATAGTTGATTTAGAATACCGTAAATTTAAAGCAGAACACTTTACTTAGATTTTATTTTTTTATTATGCAACATTCTTTAATCCTTTAGAATATATTTACTTTTATGGGGAAAAATTACTGAAACATGTGTTCAAAGACAACACAGGAATTTTGCTTAAATCAGTTCTGGGCAGGAAAGGGTTAAGAAACAAATAGTGCAAACAATACCATGGTAGACTGCATATTATCATTTAGCTCTCAAGCTCATACACAAATTGTCATTATGAGGGTAGGACACAATGCAATGGCTACCTACTAGAATGCAGGGTGATGAATTGCTTAATCATCATAATAACATTTGAATAATGACTGATCTTACATCAACAAAAAATCAAAACATTATTGATAAATACATTTGAAGGATGATAATGCAAAACTTTATCATTACCGGATCTTTTCCTTTAAAATAGAAGAGCAAGTTGCCTAGCAACCGGAAACATCTTTCCGTGTAAACTGGAAATAGAACAAAATATGTGTAATTAAAGAACTGGTAGCAACTGATAAAGTAATATATTGGTATTAATAAAATAAAAAGCAAAGATGCCAACTGTATGAAAGAAAAGTATCTAAAAATCTTCGAAATCTGTGTAATGAAAGTAAATGTATGATGTAACTGAAGAGAGGTACTAATTATGTGCAAATTCCAAGTTAACAAAATAAACATAAATACAGAAACATTTGGATCTATACCTAAACATCACTAAAATCAAATGGCGTATTTATATTTAATAAAACTTGGTCATAAGATCAAATTGTAAACTTGATACCAGCTTAAACATGTTTGTATTGAATTTTTTTGCCCAGAAGAAAACATTCAGTGTTGGTAGATGTTTGCTCCAGAGAGGGTGATTTATGCAGAATTAAGTAGAGTATGGGCAAAGGAATGGTGTCCATTAGAGACAGGTGTTCACTAAGAGAGGTAGTGAAAGTACCAAAAAGTGTGTAATTAATTAATTTAATTAATTAATTAATTAATTGAATTATGATTCCAACTGGACAGAATAAGTATGTGAAACACATTTTTCAGTAGTAATACAAATATTTAAAAACACTGGCATAATACCACACAGCAGACCATTATAAGAAGCTTACCTTCAGATTTTCTTGACTTAAACAGACCCTCTGGTTTTTCTTTGATGTGTAAGAGACCCTCTTTGTCATACTTTGTTGCTTTCTGCTGGGCAAGATTTGCCATTTCTTTGGCATTGAAACGCATTTTGATAGGCTGGCTAAAAAACTCTTGAATGCGGCTTTTTGTTTTTAAAGAGTCTTTTTCCACATCTCGTCTGAAAAACAATGGTACATTATTGCTGTCATTAGATTAACTCCTAGACTATATCCTATTTAGTCTGAATTACATTCAGACTATAAGGCACCTATGTTAAAGTTTGGTAATTCCAAATATTTGTTTACATAGGAAGTGCTATTCAAAATGGCCGATTGGGTAAAATTAATTTGCACATTTGTTACTTCAACTAGCTTTATTTCCACTAGACAATATGCTGTGTTACTTTTTATTGCATTTAATTGTACCTTACTATTTAATTGAAATTTTGTAATGTTTATTTTATTGAAAAAATGTTTCCTCCAATTGATAATTTTGTGCAAAAAATTTCACTGCAATTTCCACAGGAAAGTAGTACATCATAACAGACTGACTTCTAGTCAGTCTGTTGGATACATACTAGATTAACTCCCATGGATTCAATGGAACTTTCAATTTGTAATATCTCCATACAATATATTGGTTAATGAAAATACTAAATGAAATCTTGTGCTAGGACTGATGTGAAAAAGTCAGTCCACCCCAATGACATGAATGAGGATTCTGATCCTACATGCACATTACCCTAAAATATAAAGACGACTTAAAATAATATCCAATAAGTTACCTCAGCAGGGTTCTCACTACAAAACATTGTTTTGAAAATAGCTCTGACTTGTCAAATATTTCCTTCAACCCTCTTTTATTTAATTTGGCCTACATGGTCATCAATAATCCATTTTCTTTCTCAATTTTGCTTATTTTAAACATAAATGTACAGTTTACTTGTACATTATCCATTTAAAGTATGCACTAAAACCTGTCTTAGTGAATTGTGCATACATGCATCTAAGGTATTCTCAGAATATAGTTCACTGACTTCTGTACAAAATTACCTCTCTGTTACCTCTCTTACATTACATTACATTACACTGTATTTTGATCTAAACTGATCTATGATTTTACTCAGTGAATGCTGGTAGGACAAAACAAAAATATTGCCTTGGAAGAAGGTAAATCCCAATGATTATAAGGCCTAGATCTAAAAAACAGTTCCAAAAAAATAATTCCCCAAAATTAGAACTGTGAGAAGAGGCGAAGAAACACTCACATATTCTAATACTGAACGAATGTATAAACATGTGTGTTATTAGAAGAAAAATGCTTAAAATAATTGCATGCTTACGTGAACAAGAGGCTAAATCATCTAAAATGTCAAGAACTCAAAAAGTTTATTTTTAAAATAATTTACTTCCGCTTATGCACTGCGAGTTTTGTCTAGCTAGAGCTCTAGTGTCTCTTTTCAAATAATTTGTTGTTACTTTCACACAAATGTGATGTTTTGTATTATTTTAGTATATTTCCAATAGATGTGTATATTAAGGTATTGTATCATGTCATTAAGTATTAAAAACAGCTGAAATGTTTAGAATATGGCAATTGAAAATGAATCACTACATGCTCCTTCCAAGATGGCTGCGCCCATCAGCAAAAGAAAATAATTTCAAATTTTGACTAAAAGCCACTAAAGAACATGATAATTCTCCGCTATAGTTGCCTATGTGGCACTATATACAGGAATACTCCTCCATATATTAAGAAATCGATAAAGAGCTCCATATTTACAAGAATGAGGTAAGTTATTGAGATGATTTTTTCTTGTCTCTCACTAAATTCAAGTCATTCAGCTTAGAGTCCATTTCACTGCTTCATTTCGTCAGTAGAATGGCAAAAATAAGAAATTGGGAGACCATTGTGCAATAATATATGGAAAAGTATATTCATAATGTACATGAATGACATTTGTATATTTCAGATCTTTTAGTTTTTTGTGCAATAAGCCTGTGCCGTCTTGTAATTTGAAGAATTTCAGCCATGTTAATCTTATTGAAAATAACATGGCAGAGAAACATCCAAATATAAGAGGCCACACACTTTATAAGCCAAACTAGAAGCAATCCAAGATTTCCATTATTTTTTGATGGAAAAAATTGAGATGGACTTTGCGTTTCATCCTGATTAATGTAACAGTGTACCTGTAACAGTATACATGTACCTGTAAAAAAACATTGGAGTAGCCAAGCACGATCCAGACAAAGCAACCCCTGAACCTCTCCAATTTTGATTCAATTTTTTTTTATTTTCAGGTCCATTAACAAGAGTCATCCATTTTTAGTGGCATGCTTCTCAGATAAACCAAAGGTAATTTTTTTTAATTTTTGCTGTGAAATATATGAATGCAACCTGGCAAGTGGTGACATAGTGCTATAGTCGCCAAGTTTTGTTGATTTAAAAAAATTGATAATGTAATAGTTAAGTACTGTATGAAAGTGATGTTATTATTAACAAAATCACATGCACATCACATGACTATAGAGATTATCTAATGTAGACTGTGGAAAAATGTTATTCCATGATCATTTTTGTTTTAGCCCCAATCCTCCCCATATAAAAAAATTTGAAAATGTTGATTTGTCTTCCACTTGAATTTCTCAAAAATTAACATTCTAATTAAACAAACCAACCTTTTCCCTATTTATTCAAACAAGTAGCACATTCTATTCCAGTTTACTGACCTGAGGGATATCCCTGTAGAGAGGATCCGCAACTTCAGCATCATTGCTCATGTAGACCATGGGAAAAGTACATTAGCTGACAGACTGCTGGAGATCACAGGTGATCCATTCTCTCAAAAATAAACTTTGATGTCTCCGTATTTTTCAAAAATTTTATATTCTTCAAAAGATGTATCAGTATTTCTCATGATTTTGAAGATTATCTCAAAAATATACTGTGATGTTTCAGTATTTCTCAAAATTTAATTATTACTTTTTCTTAGAATCATGATGAAATCACAGGTGAATACTTTCTCAAAAATATACTGTGATGTATCATTATATCTCCAGATTAATTTTTTTTTTTTGAAAAATACTATATTTTGTCATTCATGAACATTTGCTCAAAACAATTACGCTATGGTGTATCAGTATTTATTCAAGTTAAATATTTCTTTTTAGTGATTAGTATTTATCCTGTTGATCACAGTTGTACATTTCCAAAATTTTCAAGTAAAAGATGATGTATCAGTATTTCTCTTTTCTTAGAAATAACTAAATCCATTGTTGTAAACATGGAAACAATGAATTTCTAAATTAAGGTATGCTTTCAAAATAATGTATAAATCAAGGTATACAAATGCTATTATTGCTGCTATGTAATGATTAAGAAGTTAATTTGGGTCATGTGCACTGAAACCTGCTCCTCTTTACACTCCCTTGTACATTTGTATTCACAGCATATTGCTTTGTTTAGATGGTTCCTGGCAAGTGGTGACATAGTGCTATAGTCGCCAACTTTTTTTGTGGTGGCGATTGGTGTTCATCAGTTGGTATATTTGGCATCTGGTGATTGTTTTTTGTCATCTGAAACAAATGACAGGTGGTGACATTTTGTATGTTGATGCCTTGTTTCATTTTCGTAAATGCAATGTCAATCTCATCTTTCATATCCAGCAATCGTAATGTTTAATCGGACATCACCTTATCTCCTAACTGGTACTATTACTGAGATTTCGTATCAACACTTTAATCTACTAACTTAATGTTTAAAACTCATATATGTGAGACTTAATGCAGGGGCATTTCATACAGACTATAAACACCGCCCTTTCATCAAATGTGTTTTCTGGTTTCCTTAATTGCGCCAATTGATGGATAATTTCAAGATTATATGATCAGACACATAAACATGGCATATACCACATAAGTTTCTCATATTTAGTTGTTGCTTTTAGTAGTTGTTTTTTGTTGAACCATATATTGCGTACAAGGATAACTGTATTTTATTTACAAGTAGGCTGCATCTTGTATTAGACCAAAACATAGCATCAAGTTTCACTAGAGCTGCTGAGAACACTTCTTATCAGATGTGTTGACAGCTCTCCTGATAAAGAAAGTGACTGGTAATTTCTGGATTTGACATAATGTAATCCTCTCCATCCACCTCCGTTTCTTCAGAGACGATATCGGCACAGAAAAAGAATGAACAAGTCTTAGACAAGCTGCAAGTTGAGCGTGAAAGAGGAATCACAGTGAAGGCACAGACTGCTACATTGTTCTATGATTACAATGGGGAGAAATACATGTTGAATCTCATAGACACACCAGTAAGTTGACCCTACCTATACTAACTGCCCCCCCTTTTTTGTTGTTTCGGTTGCTATAGCAATCACAACTTTAGCCAATCAAATAGAAGATGCTTTAAATTCGCAGAATAAAGGTAAAAAAGTTAGGGCTACAAACTCTGAAAATTTCATCAAGATTGGTGCAATATTTAGAAAGTTACAATATATTTTACCTTATTTATTGGACACCCTGTAAATGTGTGACTATAATTGGTTAGGTGTGTTAATTAGTTAAAACATTGAGCTTTTCAAATATAACCTTTTATATATAAACAGTCTCTTTCTTTTGTGTATAAAATGTTATATTAAATTTTTCCACTATAAAGTCTTATGAAATACTATATTGTGATAATCAATGAGAAAAAGTTGTGCAATAACAGAATTCTATTTATGCTTCTTAAATCTGTTTATATTGTTGACATTGCAATTTATTTTATAATGTATCTAAATAATTTTGTTCATTTGAAGACAAATTATACTGACTTTACTAATTTCAGGGTCATGTTGATTTTAACTATGAAGTAGCCAGGTCACTGACTGCTTGTCAGGGTGTAATCCTACTGGTAGATGCAAATCAGGTTAGTGGATAATAACTTGTATACCGGCATTCTAGTTTTGATTAAAAGAACAATTTGGCCCTTGTACATGTATTATACCAGTCTGTTCTGGCTATTCTTGTTAGCTATGCAAATTTTGATCAAAAATACCTATGATTTGATTTGGTCAAAATGAACTCTGTTTTTCAATGTCTTTCAAAGACATCTGTTTAAGTCAACTGTAGCCTTAAAATCTGTTTTATGTTTACCATAAGTCTGCTTCAAGCCCTTTTAATAGTCCCCCTCTTATTATGTGTTGGTGAGGAATATAAGAGGGAGTCCACAGGCTTGAAGTAATGAAACACCTAAATGTTATATGATATTCCATTTTAGGGAATTCAGGCTCAAACTGTAGCTAATTTTTACTTGGCGTTTGAAAAGGAGTTGGTCATCATTCCAGTCATTAACAAAATTGACTTGAAGAATGCGAAACCAGAACAAGTGAAGCTGCAAATACAAAGTTTATTTGACTGTAAGAAGGAGGATATATTAAAGGTACCAAAGTAATTTGTCATAATGGGTTACAAACAGTCAGATGATTACAAAGCATATTTTGCATAAGCATTTGTAGCGCACTTATCTTTTCGTTTAATAAGACTTAGTAAGGAAGTGGTGCAAGTCGCGAAGAAAACTAGTCAACTTAATTTTGAAAAACAGAACAGAGTCTGGAGTCGATGAGACAATTTGTGATTTGATGTTTTTATTTCTGCAAAAAAATTGAAGAAAATTGTGTGAATTCACTTCCAAAACAGTCTATTGATACTTAAAAGCTATAGCAACTTAAAATGGACTAATTTAACAAAAAAACAAAAAAAACTTAAAATGGACTATAGCAAGTTGTGACTATGAACCCTGGAGTCATCATGATTATTGTATATTATGAGATCCTCGATGCATCAATCATGCAACGTTATGATTATTTACTGCAGTCTGCATCAATATAATTGGTACTGGAATCAAAATTGTATAACTTGAACTTTTTAATCAATGACATACTTTTAATGTTTCTTATGTTCTTTCCTTCAGATCTCCGCCAAACTTGGAACAGGAACTGATGAACTTCTTCAGAGAATAGTAGAACAGATACCTCCGTATGTACAGTCTACATTACATGGTTTTAGTAATGTAAAGTCAGAAGTAATATCAAATCATTGATGTTAAATTTTCAGAATTGCTATGTCAATTCATCACTTTTTCAAATAAGAGCATTTAGCGAAAAAAAATTTGTCACAGATTATCTTGTCACTCTGGGTTTCAAGGTCATTTCTGAGGTGACGAAAAATCTATTCACTCTGGGAAGTCAACAGGTTAATAAGTAATGTAAAAACATCAGTTGTGTCAAATCAGCAATGTCAGATCTTCAGAAATGCTATGTCAATTTACCAGTCATCTTCTGCCTTTGTTCACTGTTCTAGAATGTAAGTAGTGAAAGATGCAAAGAATGCAATATTGGAATATGATTTATGGTGAATTAAAATTGTTTTATGAGAGGTTTGGTTTTAATTTGTAGGCCTGAGAGTGACCGCAAGAAGCCCTTTAAAGGCCTGCTATTTGATTCATGGTATGATAAATATAGGGGAGCTGTAGCTAATGTTGCTATCATTGATGGCCAGGTGAAGAAAGGTAAGTGCCAAAAATTCATTCAGCTTCATGTCCATTCCACTCAATTTTCTTAAAACAGGGTCAGAAAAACTGATCCACTTTCCAGGCTTATGAGTAACTGGTTAGAATTATTAGAATTACACAGCAGCTGTAATATTTTTGCTACAAAATAATTATAAAAAAGCTTAGGATTATGCTTTGCATTGAATGTTAATTTTTACTTAACAATTAACTTACTAACAATTCAAGTTTTACTTTAATGGACTCATTTTTAAAAGGATTCTTTTTTGAACAAAAGTCCTTTAAAAAAAGCTTTTTGAAAAAATATAAGCCAGAATGGTTAGTTTACATAGGGCCTTTTAATATTCAACAATCATTCAATCTTAAAATTCCTGATATTTTGATGTAAAAATACCAAGGGATTTCCTGATTGTTTCCACTAAGAAAAAACACTTGTCTTGCACTAAACAAGCAATACATTATTTATTAATCATTACTTAAGGAGAATTATACAGAGGTTTCATTAAGATTCATGACATTCAGAAAAATGACTGAAAACAACAGTGGCAAAATTACTAGACATTGTCATTTTAACAAACAGTTTTTAAGTTCTACAAACCAGCAGGCAACTGTAAAAAACTTTCTGTTGCTTGCTGCTTGTTAATGAAAACTCTGATGCATCAAAATGACATTCTGACCTTTATTCATGCAGTGTTTAATTAGATATTGTATGATTTTGTATTGTATGCATTTAATCATAGTATTGTACATTAGCGTACATTGTAATAATCCATTTTCATTTAGATATAGATGTAAGGCCATACAAGAATGAACTTCCTTATATGGCCTTGGCCCATAATCATATTGGTATAATCCATGATCACTACAGTGTTATCCATTGACATAGAAGGAATCCATAATAATATTGGTATAATCCATGTTCACTACAGTGTAATCCATAGACATGGATATAATCCATAATTGTATTGGTATAATCCATGTTCACTACAGTGTAATCCATGGACATAGATATAATCCATAATCATATTGGTATAATCCATGTTCATTACAGTGTAATCCATGGACATAGATATAATCCATAATCATATTGGTATAATCCATGTTCACTACAGTGTAATCCATTGACATAGAAGTAATCCATAATCATATTGGTATAATCCATGTTCATTACAGTGTAATCCATGGACATAGATATAATCCATAATCATATTGGTATAATCCATGCTCACTACAGTGTAATTCATTGACATAGAGGTAATCCATAATAATATTGGTGTAATTTATAATCCATATTCACTACAAGAAGTAATCCTTAATCATTTTCATTTGATATACTATAAGCCAAAATGTAAAATCCATAATCATAATGGTTTATATGGAGATGTCCTCCATATTCATTTTACCATCAATTATAGATATAATCTTTCTTTGGAATAATCCCTCTTCATTGTATGTAGACATAATCCTTGCTCATAATCATCTTAGTTTAAACCATGAGAAATCATATTTTTATCTTTATTTACTTTTGTTAAATCCATTTTATTTTCATGTATTATGATCCGAGTAGATGAAGATGTATAATCCAATTTTATTTGTTGATTAAATCCACAGTTATCTTGGTTTAGACTATGTTCATATGGAGAATTATTATTCTACATGCAATTCATTTTGGAATAATCCATGTTCATATGATTAATTCTATGGGATAATATATAGGTTTTTAAATTGAAAGTGTTAAGCATAATCAATGTTCATACCAAGATTTGATACATGATTAACACCTACAAGTATTATAATAATATCATCCTACTATGCATATTGATATTATCTAATTTATATTATATGTATTTCTAATCCATAATCATCTTGGTATAATCCATGTTCATATGGAGATTTAAGTCCTTAATCGCTCTTCATTCTTTAATGTTTAGCTGTTCTTGTATTTACATTTCTTGAGTTTTTCTTGGGTAATATACATGTACGATACAGGATTTATTAATGCAAAACTAATAGAAATTGAAGCACCAAAACCACTATTCTATCAGTTAAACATACCAGTTTCAGGCCCATAGCCAGGATATGCCAAGGGAGGTTCACTTTTTGAAGAATTCCAGGGGGGTTCACTTGTGACAATTATGGTTCAAAAATGGCCAAAATCACTTAAAAAGTGCTCAGAATGGTGAAAAACTGCATGATTTGTAAGATTTTTTGGTCGGGGGGGGAACCCATCGAACCCATCGAACCCCCCTGGCTACGGGCTTAAGTCCTCTTGTCTGTTGTTCACTTGTGATATGTTTTCACAATTCTTAAACATGTTTATTGCTTTTATCAAGATGAGAAAGATCTCGTTTGAATATGTGAAGTGCCTTCAGAAAATGTTTTTCATCGCGATCAATGACCTTCCAACATACAGCACCATCTCTATGAACATGTAGCTTTTGATCTAACCATGTGACCACTCCATTCTTGCCCTTTGTTGGCTTAAATGCAGCTTTGTGTGTTATGGATCCTACAAATATAACAAATTATTATGCACCCTGTTTAGGTACTGCAATATGATTGGTTCTAAGTTACCTGTAATTTGGCAATATTCTGACCTTTTCTGAAAACTGCCAGATATTTTTTAATATCTGACTTTTTTGAGAAAATATTGGTCAGGAGACTGTCCAATATTTTTTGAAGAATCCAACTTAAGAATTTTATTTCTCTATAACTTGAGTATTATTAAAATTAATACAGAAAAAGAAAGGTCTACCTAATTATTTAAAACATTTATTAGTCAGAAATTTGTTGCGATGAGCCATACTCAACCTACCCATAATGCCATCTGCTGAATTGCTCATGCCAACATACTCCGAGATTCCAAAATTCAGATACCAATGGGGTTTGCCCTCAAAGATATATCCAACTGGCCTGACAGCTATTACTGTATTGTCATTATCCAAATATATATCAATAGGACGCCATTTGGAGATTCGCCCGACAGACAGCTTGATTGTGTTGTGATGACGTATGTTGTATTTCTTTTCCTTCGCTTTTAAGCCATCTTTGACATGTATCCAACCTGGTGTTATGTGGATCCATGTATTGCCTTTCTTAATGCTTAGTTTCCCGATGAATTGAGCAACATTGGCTTCATGGTAGATTTGTTTGAATGATGCGTAAATAGCTGGATGGAAGAAATGTATGTGATATATGTGAATTGATAATTTTTCAAGGGGTCTTGTATGAATAAATTATCAGGTATTTAAATGCTCTTAGAATATAATATTTAGGGGGTCATATAAAAAACAATCATTGTCTATTTTTATTCCCATTGTTTTACGATATCGAATTTATATGTTCCACAACTTGAAACAGAACTTTTTGAGAGAGAAATTCATCTAAACTGTTTGAATAAGACATTTCCTTACTATTACTAGCGTAACTCAATCAAAAGAATCAATCAATGTCCCATAAGTTATATTAAAGAGCTTTAAAAAACAAGTATAAGATGACCTTTAGCATTATTTGGAAATATGGAATTTGATTCTCCTCACCTAGGTCTCTATCCTTGAGATATAGATACGTCTCCCCTGGTTCACCAAAGATCTTGTAGCAGAACTTCAGGTCTGTACCTACAGAAAAAGAAAACACATTTATTGGGATATTCATTGGACAGATGGCCCTGATTCCCATAAGCACACAGATTTATTGGGATATTCATTGGACAGATGCCCCTGATTCCCATAAGCACACAGATTTATTGGGATATTCATTGGACAGATGCCCCTGATTCCCATAAGCACCTATCATCGCTGTTAAAGTGCTCTATAGCAATGCTGAGTCCTGCTTGAAAGCATATTTCCTCGAAGGCGTTGTTTCCTAAATCTTATTATTTTCCCAGTTGTGCTGGTGGTTAAAGTCTTTAGTTCTGGTATAGGTTACTTTCGCAAATAAGGAGGCCCTCTGGAAGTTTGACCAAACTTTTTTTTAAAATCTATCTTCAAGTTCTCGAGAATTGTCATCTGACCCCAGATATGTTCCCTAGTGGTCCGCAGTGATCTCCCCAGGATTTTTTCTCAGTTGGGTGCAAAATTCTCATTTTCACAATTCAGACCAAAATTGGTTAAAATATGCCAATTTATTTTTCATGATTTTTCTCATCTTCAAGTGGGTGCAAATGGATATTCAGATGGGTGCAAATGGATTTCCAGGTGGGTGCAAGCCTATTTTCAAAATCTCAGATGGGTGCTGCGCCCACTTGCTTTAATGCTGGTGTGATCACTGATCTGGTGCATTACCTTTGATGGTTTGCTGGACTCGAGGATCACCACATACATTGATATATTCAGAATTCTTAGAGCATATCGGGTATTTCTCATCACAGTCAGTGTGGGCACGGCATTCGTGGCAAAGCCCATCAGGAAGACAATGTGCTCGATTCGCATCCTTACAGTCAGCTGATGTCTTACATTCAGTTCCTAAAATAATCAGCTTAGATATAGATGTGAAATTAGAATGATATTTTAAAACAATTACATGATTTCATAATAAATAGAATATAATACAATATATTTTACATGTACAGTAAAACCTGTCTACATGGAATGCCCCTCATACAAACTAAAATTGTTCTAAGTTGACAGGTGTTCTTTATAGAGAGGGTTCATTAACATTTGAATCATTTGAGCTTGTTCCATTTGGAAAGCTATTCTATAAAGAGAGTTGTCCCTTACAGAAAGGTATTCCACATTACAGGTTTTACTGTTATTAATACCAATATATCTATAAACTCTTGTGATTTGTCTATGATATGTGTGTATTTATAAAATGATTTATTCATGAGATACCCTGTACATCAAACTAATACATGTACTCACTTTTATGGGATGATTTATTCTTACTTACCATATTGCGTTTCTGTCGCAAAGGCCAACATAATCCAAACAAACATACAAAGCAAAAATGTTATTGGGCAGCACAAACAAAGAAAAGCAAGCACAATGTCATATTGTCAGGGTAAGGTCATCATTGTTGTGCATCATTGTCTTTCTCTGTGATTAGATTATTTGTCATCCTCATTGTGCATCTTTGTTTCTGTGTATTACTGTTGTGTTGTGACTGCTATAACATGTAGTGTGATGACTTTTCTAATTATTGTTGTGCAAAATTGTTATATTTGCATCATTGTATGTTGATCATCATTCCAAGATTTTTTGTTGGTAATGATTGTGCATCATTGTGATTTTCATCATTGTATGTTGATCATCATTCCGTGATTATTTGGTAACAATTGTGCATCATTGTGATTTTGCACCATTGTATGTTGATCATGATTTCATGATTATTTTTTGGTAACAATTATGCATCATTGTGATTTTGCATCATTATATGTTGATCATCACACCATGATTGTTTGTTAGTAACAATTGTGCATCATTGTATTTTGATCATCATTCCATAATTGTTTGTTGGAAGCAGTTGTGCATCATTGTAATTTTGCATCATTGTATGATGATCACGGTGACATGATTCTTTGTAAGCAAGATTTGTGTATCATTGTTGCTTAATTCATTCTTCACCTGTACACATTGTTGATATCATAATCACTGTTAACCATGGTGTGCTAATCATCAATTTTATGCATCATTGTATCAGCATCATATGAATTGACATTAACTATCTTTAGTTCTCCTCTTAGTACAATACAATTTGCAAATTCTAGATTTCTCTCGAATGTCAAATGTTAATCTTCTACTGATCTTAGTTAGTTGGTCATCATAGGATATGTCCATCAGATCTTGGTCATCATAGTTGTGCATCATTGTTGGTATACATCATGCTGGTCATCTTAGTTCTTCTTTTGCATCTTATATAAGTCATTGAAAAATATATCCATATGATCTTTTGCATTTAGACTGCCTCTCAAAATATTTCTGAGTTATTTACTTATTCTGATTTCTGAAACTGAATGTATCACTGAAAACATTTAGTACACATTATTGTTAAATGTTACATAATAATTTATAACTGTTACTTTTACCATCATTTAGTTCTACATGTTATATTAATCGTATGATCTGTAAAATGAAGCCCTCTGATTGGTCAGTTCTTGTGCTGTACCAATCTGTATTGCTACTGAGATTGTCTCGCTGATCATCTCCGTCGCAATACAGAAAATATTGGTACAGAGGGAACAATCTCAGTAGTAATACAGAGGATCACAAGATAAAAATGTTATTGAATGATTTGAAGTGCAATACAGGATATATTCTGTCTCGATATTCTGTATCGGCACTCGTCTTTGTCTCGTTCCAATACGGAATTTCTCGAGCAGAATATATCCTATATATAACCTCAAATCATTCAATACCTTAATACTATTTGTATTGAAAAGTTAGCCTGTCCAGTCAATATACATTTTTGATCTTTGTATATGTACAGTAAGAGCTTCGGATCAATTAGGTTTTGGTTTATGGGCAAAGATCAAGGTAGAATGATGACTGATTAATTCTTAGTCACAATTAACAAATCACATATCTTTATTTAAGAAGCAAAATATGTTGGCAACGAGTTAAAAACCATGATGACCCTTTAACTCACCTGGGCACTCAGCCGTATTGCAGTCAATGTTTTCAGTGTCATAAGCCAGTGTTTCATTAGCCGAAGTTTCATTAACCAGAGTTTCTCCACCTTTAAAAGTTTCAAATATATATGCATAGAGGTCATAAAGTAAAAGCGTTAGATATATTGCACTGTCAGTTTAGTATATTTTAGTTTAAGGATCAGACTGGACATTGATTTGTGTTGCTCTTTAAAGTACAGTCCTTTCAGTTTCATTAGTTAGGTGAGTTTTTCCATATGTGTTGTTTCATTAATTTTGAAGAAAAACGATGGAAATGAAACTGTTTTAAAACACTGTACTGACATACCTGGGCAATGATCCATGTTGCAATCAGCACTTTCAGTTTCATTAATCAACTGAGTTTCTCCGTCAAGACCCAAGCAGTCATCACCACCATGATTTGTTATTGGACTGTCACATGATCTATTCCGTGTTTGAGTACCTCCCCCGCATGTCGCAGTACAGGCACTAAATGCTGACCAATCACCCCATCCTCCATGAACTACAAATTATGATTATAAAAATGATTTGGTATTGGTCTGTCACATGATCTATTCCTTGTTTGAGTACCTCCCCCGTATGTCGCAGTACAGGAACTAAATGCTGACCAATCACCCCATCCTCCATGAACTACAAATTATGATTATAAAAATGATTTGGTATTGGACTGTCACATGATCTATTCTGTGTTTGGGTATCTCCCCCGCATGTCGCAGTACAGGGACTAAATGCTGACCAATCACCCCATCCTCCATGAACTACAAATTATGATTATAAATATGATTTGGTATTGGACTGTCACATGATCTGTTCCGTGTTTGGGTACCTCCCCCCACATGTTGCAGTACAGGGACTAAATGCTGACCAATCACTCCATTCTCCATGAGCACTTAGGGTATTGTTCTGTTTGTTTGCTTATTGATTAATTTTGAAAAAAACGATGGGAAAGAAACTGTTTTAAAACACTGTACTGTCATACCTGGGCAATGATCCATGTTGCAATCAGCACTTTCAGTTTCATTAATCAACTGAGTTTCTCCGTCAAGACCCAAGCAGTCATCACCACCATGATTTGTTATTGGACTGTCACATGATCTATTCCGTGTTTGAGTACCTCCCCCGCATGTCGCAGTACAGGAACTAAATGCTGACCAATCACCCCATCCTCCATGAACTACAAATTATGATTATAAAAATGATTTGGTATTGGTCTGTCACATGATCTATTCCTTGTTTGAGTACCTCCCCCGTATGTCGCAGTACAGGAACTAAATGCTGACCAATCACCCCATCCTCCATGAACTACAAATTATGATTATAAAAATGATTTGGTATTGGACTGTCACATGATCTATTCTGTGTTTGGGTATCTCCCCCGCATGTCGCAGTACAGGGACTAAATGCTGACCAATCACCCCATCCTCCATGAACTACAAATTATGATTATAAATATGATTTGGTATTGGACTGTCACATGATCTGTTCCGTGTTTGGGTACCTCCCCCCACATGTTGCAGTACAGGGACTAAATGCTGACCAATCACTCCATTCTCCATGAGCACTTAGGGTATTGTTCTGTTTGTTTGCTTATTGATTAATTTTGAAAAAAACGATGGGAAAGAAACTGTTTTAAAACACTGTACTGTCATACCTGGGCAATGATCCATGTTGCAATCAGCACTTTCAGTTTCATTAATCAACTGAGTTTCTCCATCAAGACCCAAGCAGTCATCACCACCATGATTTGGTATTGGACTGTCACATGATCTATTCCGTGTTTGAGTACCTCCCCCGCATGTCGCAGTACAGGAACTAAATGCTGACCAATCACCCCATCCTCCATGAACTACAAATTATGATTATAAAAATGATTTGGTATTGGTCTGTCACATGATCTATTCCGTGTTTGAGTACCTCCCCCGCATGTTGCAGTACAGGGACTAAATGCTGACCAATCACTCCATTCTCCGGGAACTTGAAGAATTAATCAACAAATTAAAACTGAGATAGTGGAAGAAGCAAAAAAATGAATAAATAGGACCAGTGCCAAAGAGATAAAAAACAGAACAAGAGAAAAAACATGAACAAGGAAAACATCAGTCCAGCAAAAATTAGGACCATGAATCAGCATTCCAGTTACATCCAGTCATCTCTTTTGTGATATAAAGGGCAAAATAAAGCCCACTGTCTTGAAAGGGTTTGACTTCAATTCTGACGTATAGCATTTTCAATTTTTTATTTTGGATACTTAAAGTCTGCTTACTTGGACAAGGCCTATTTGTGCAGGCCCGATATTCAATGGACGAACCAGTTTTACAAGATACACCTGCCCCACTGGGTGGTGGGTTGTTACATTGTCTTGTTCTTCTTCTGGAGCCTCTACCACATGATGTTGAACATCCACTGAGACTGCCCCAGCTGCCCCAAGCTCCATTAACTACAAAATAAAGCATTTTTATGGGTCAAGGTCGGTATAAAGCATTTTCATTGGTGAAGCTATGGATGAGGCAAAAATATTAGCATTATCATTTAGTATATAAATCTACTTAATGAAGACGGCATGAAGACATCTCATGTTATGATGATTTTCCCTCAATTTATATGAAGATAAAAACAATACTTGTATGTATCCTGTCTATCCAATTTAGAATTTTGACCATGCAACAACCAAGGATGTTGACCTGTTATTCAGATGTATCTCATTGTAAAGATGAAAACACAATGGTAAACTCTCCTTATCGGTTTCCAAATACTTCTCTTCCATTTTTGAGAGGATATACTTGTCTTACCTGCCTTGGCTGCGAGGTCAGCATAGTAAGGTGAATTCTCAATCCAACAATTGCAGGAAAATGTTGTTTCTGTACCACTTTGGCGGTCAGTAACCACAGCCTTGAGATAACAAAGGAAACTCTATTAAATTAATGGCAAAAAATCCGGTTCAACAATTGGGCCAGCAAAGGAGGTCATTGCAAGGCAATTCCATCTTTGCACTATGGGAAATAACCTCCTCTACTGAGTGATACTGATGGCATGTGTCAACAAGTCTAAAAGTCATATGCTGCCCAACTAAACACTAAATAGTCTTGATCAATTGTCTGGATTTGAGCCAGTGATATGCTATCAACAAGATGTGTTTCGGATGAGTATGTACTCGGAAAATAGGATAGGGCAATCTTGCTAGACAATGACACTTTAAACCACTTACACAAAGCAGTTTGTTGTGACCATTTCCCTTGATTTGAACTAATTGTCTTTCTTTGTTTCAATAGCATGTGTTTTGGTAGAGTAGACACTAGAATTAATAGGGCAATTTTGTTGATGAATTACACTAATTATTAACACAAACCAGTTTGTCCAGAATATTTCCCTGCAGTCTTCCTTGTTTCAATACCACATGTTTTCGATGAGCGCACACTTGGGACAGGGCAATTTTGCAAAATACATAAACTTGATAAATGAGATGAGACTGATATTAGAAGAGAATATAAATACCTGCCAATATGGATATGGCTTTAAGGCCAACTAACCTGAGCGAATTTCCATCCTGGTCCCCAACCACTATTATCATGTCCTATACGTAGTTGAATTATCACTCCATAATCCACACCAGTGTTTAAAGAATATGAATTAACACTGAAAATACATATAGTGGTTGATCAATGCAGTTAAATCCAAAATGTTACAAATGAAATTATACAATTGAATTCATGCATTCCCATGTGGCTTATATTTTACAGACTTAAGCAAATGGTAATTGTCTGAATATGTCATCCTCTGATCACAGGGCTTCAAAATCCAGAACATATTCTTTCTTTTTACCCCCTGCGATAAGAACTCACAATCTGATTGGCTGTCATAATACTGTGACAGAAATCATGTATAAGCCATTGCACATAATTAGATCACTTGATTCAATTAAATCAGGCGCTTCCAAATTGGTTATAGCAAGGAAGAAGGAGGTACTGATTCTGGACACCTGCTCAGGAGGATGGAATATGTAAGCAAATGTGCCGTTACCATGGTTACAGAATACAGCAAGAAAAAAAATCAAAGAATACACCAGTCATAAGCAAATTAAACCCCAATTATTCCAAATCAAAATCCAACTTGAAAAGAGACAATGAAACAATCCGATATTGCTAACGTATGTGCTTTATGACGTCATATCATGTCATTCATAGCAAATGAGGGTTAAGCTAATATCATCTCACAAAAGTACCTTCCTCTCTCAAAGTCATAGCTATTTGAGTCAAGTGTAATCTTGCCAGATCGCCCTTTATGTCCAGTAAGGAAGACATAGACCCAAGCATCTGTTCCTGAATACCAAACGTCACTAGTCCATATCTTGATGTCATAGCCAACTGGAAAGTGGAAATGTATGATGCAAAAAAATGTAGAAATTACAGTCCTTTTTACTATTTTGCTTTTAAGCATCAGTTTACTCTTGTTTCGTCTACTCTTATTATTAAGCATCAGTTTACTCCTGTCATTCTACATTTATAAAGTCTTGCCAGGCTTTTAGAGTCCGGCGCCCCGCCGATCTCTCTCATGTTCAGACCTGATGGCGCGAACGTTGAATTTTTTTCCGGGTTCTAAAAATTTCCTGGTGAGAACCCTGAATATCCTTATAGTTATAAAATGCTTCTTTTTCACAATGGAACTTATGGCTCAGTTATGGCTCAGTCTCATTTGATCTACGGCAACCATACAGGGCTGTAGCTTCTCAAATTCAAGAGAATAATACAACATAAAATATAGGGATGAGTAGTACAATGTAGATTTTCTATATCAATTTTATAGCTATACAGCCACTGTACAGCCTCCATAGAGCAAATGTGACAGGCTTTATAACCACTGTATATTGGCTTGAACTTACCTGCTACCACCAATGGCAGGACTGTTACAAGGATGACAACTGATAAGAGACCCACGTTGGGAAACCTAATGAAAGAAGTGATTAAATTAAACTGAGAAAGTTTAGAAATTCTTTCAGTAAAAGTTAATTTCATTCAATTAAGAAAATGTAACATGAGCTAGAAAATGAAAAATTTATAAAATAAATATAAAAACCCTGCGCTAAGGGCTGATGTGAAAAAGTCAGTTCACACTAGTGGGTTTTGAACCCATGACCCCTCGCTTTCCTAGCAATTGCTCTACCACTGAGCTATAAAAGAACTTTATGAGAAATAGCCTAATGAAACAGAGATAGCCTTAGAATTATTTCAGTAAAAGTTGATTCGCCAATTAGGAAAGTGTAACATGAGCTGGAAAATGAAAAATCTATACAGGTATTCTTTTGCTAATCAGTTATTTAGTTAATTGTTTTTGGCGATAGGTACCTTGAACTTTTAAATAAATACACAACAGTTTTGAAAAGATGGAGTCAAATTGCTCTTTTTAGGTCAATGAATATGATCCTCAGGCACACGTCTTCTCTGTTGCCGCGTGTTGTCGACATAAATGATAATTTCATGAAGATATACTTACATGCTGTTAATATCGTTTTCATTTATTCCACATTAAATATGTTTATCCATACTTATCCCATTATACATTTTGTAACGCAAAGTGCATTAAAATCAAGTTAAAAAGTTATGTTCATTATGGTTTTGTTTTTATTTAGTTCTATTTCAACGTTCAAACAGGAAGATGCTGCGCGCACGTTAGGTATTCTATCTTAAACTAAAGTAACATACTGCTTCAAAGAGAAAGTTCAGAATTTTAATGTATATTTTTATTTAGTATTTTAAACTTTAACACGGACGTCATAAAGTGAAATAAATAAGATGTAAACGTATAAAAAGACCCTTTTCTATTATGTACAAGTATTATTCAAAAGTAAGTCAGGATGGTCTAGCATGAATAAATCAATTGTCAGTATAATAAATTCAATTACTGCAAAACCGCTGCCTAATCTGAACACTGTTGAAACAGGCTAAAAGTGTTCGGATTAGGAAGTGTTCACATTTCAAGGTTTTTGAGATCATTGTTCTATTTTACATTACCAGAGGAATATATACTTTTTATAAGAATAATTGTAAAAAACAGTTGGGAATTTATACTAACCTGTGCTGATATGCAAACATGTTTTCTTGATAAATAAAAAATATGTATGAAATTGTTGAATATCATATATATAGTTAGTGAGGTAGCACCGAAAAATGTACCCGCTTCTGAACAAATTGAAATTACTTGTTTCTTATGTATTTTTATGTGATACTTCAGGAAATTTTTGTCTGATGCGCCGTATCCGGGGCGAAAGTTGTCAAAATTGGGTTTTTGACCCTAAAAAGGAAAATTACAGGGGGTACATTATCATCATTGAATAATTCATTCAGTTGGTCTTCAATCATCATAATAATTTTATCGAGAGTTGATGAGATCATTTTTAGGTAGTATGCAAAGTTTCAATGGTCTGTCACTCGTGGTTGCCATGGAAACCACAATTTTTGCTGAGAAAATTCTTAATTTTGGTAAAACCTGTACCTGTCATAATATAGAATGTGGATTATTTTTCAAATCAACAGATATCAGAACATTTTAGCATTTTCAAAATTACAAGGGCAGTTCAAACATTTATTTAGATATAAAGGATATTGCAATTAACATAACTGGGGAGTGTCAAAGACCATACAATTACATAAGTGATCAAAAGTGGGCGTCGCCCTTATCATAGTAGATGATTGCCATTCTCTGAAAATACAGAGTTTTACTTGACTTTTGAGATACATTTATAATGATGTTCTTTGGTTATACTAAATATGAAGCATTTTTGGTAAATAATGTACATGTAAGTGTTATACTTATTGCATTGGGGAGGGGGTAGATGGGGGGGGGGGGGGTAACAGAATTGGAAGAGGGCAAAGCTAATCACCCTTAAGTATAAATCTCATCTACATAGTTCTGGATTTCATAGGGTTCATCTTCTTGGTCTTCTTCACATTCATCTGAATATATAGGATATTATAATTCTGCATGATTGGTAAGTATTAAGACCATAGAATTACTCAAGTGATCAAAAGTGGGCGTCGCCCTTATACATTCATTCTCTATAAATACAGAATCTAAGTTGACTTTTGAGATACATTTACATTACAACTTCTTTGTCTTTGATTATACTTAATTTCAAGCATTTCTGGTTAGTAATGCACATCTAATTGTAATAGTTCTTGCCTGGGGGAGGATGGGGGAGAGTAGTAACAGAATTGGGAGGGGGCAGATGTAATCAGCCTTAAGTATAAATCTCATCTGCATAGTTCTGGATTTCATGGGGCACCTCGTCTGGGTCTTCTTCATATTCATCTCAACATATGGGATATTACAATTTACAGGATTTGTCAAACACCATACAATTACATATTTATAAAAGATCAAAAGGAGTGTCACCCTAACAATAGTAGATGATTGGTTCTTTGTATAAATACAAAATTGAACTTGACTTTTGAGATACATTCATAGTTATACTGAACTGCTGTTATTATGATTTATGTCAAGCATTTCTGGTAAATACATCTGTGTAAGTATTATAGTTTTTACATTTGGGCAGGGGTAAGTAGTAACAGAATTAGAATGTGTAGATCTAATCTGCCTTTAAGTATAAATCTCATCTTTTTAATTCTGGATTTCGTAGGGTACATCTTCTGGGGTTTTCTGATTCATCTCCTGGTGTTGCTATATCACCAATCTCTTGTATGAGAATATCAGTCAATACCCACTGGAAAGATATGGAGTCATTTAGTTTCCATTCAAGTCCATCTGGTGGTTCACTACGAGGATTTGCAATATGGGCCATACAGACAATAAGTGCTTTATATGGATGAGATGGTTACA